TATTGATCGGGGGGGGGGGGGGTATATCTATTTTAGATAGGAGTGTATCTATTCCTGCTCACTGGAAGGACAGATCCTGAAGCTGATGCTCCAATACTTTGGCCACCTCATGAGAAGAGAAGACTCCCTGGAAAAGACCCTGATGTTGGGAAAGATGGAGGGCACAAGGAGAAGGGGACGACAGGGGACGAGATGGTTGGACAGTGTTCTCGAAGCTACCAGCATGAGTTTGAGCAAACTGCGGGAGGCAGTGGAAGACAGGAGTGCCTGGCGTGCTCTGGTCCATGGGGTCACGAAGAGTCGGACACGACTAAACAACAAATATCTATTCCTATCTAAAATGCTTGCACAGTATGTCAGAACTGGACTAGACTTAGCTGAGTGTCAAGCAAGAGCCAAGGATTGGAGCCAGAAGTCAGAAGCAATGAATATGGTTGTTGCCCAGGTAGAGTCCCTATTTGAGTTCCGGTTTCAATAAGACTTCCCAAGTGCCAGCGCACCAATAGGTGGGCAGTGTCAACTTTTATGGCCCAGGAAATGCTTCAGCTCTCAGTGACTCACCCTATGAGGCAGTAGCTCACAGAGCTGCGGTTTCTAAATTCTAGCACTTCTCACAACAAAAGTGAACAGTATTTCTCTCTCTGAAACTACTTCATAATGTGTATTTTAAGACTAAGGCCACTACATTTTATTCATATGGTTATAAGTTTGTGGGTGCCCTGAACCCAGCACATGTTAAAATCTAGGCCATGTGTAAAATATAAGCCAGGCTGGCTTCCAGGTGAAGTAATGCCTGGAGAGAGAGGCTATTAAAAGAAGACAAAGGGAAGGGTAATGAAACCCAACCACAAAGCTAACACTATTGGCCAGCAAATGGGTTGAGCCCTGCCTTGAGCTCTGGGTAGCTCACAGAAGACAATGTAAGGCTTTCAAGGATGGAGTTTCAGGATTGCAGCTGGGGATGATGTAAACTGCAGGAAAAACAGTTGCAGTTTGCAAGTGGGGACAGGCTGGACAAAGGGGGCCCAGAATACAACGTGGGCTGACAGTTGGAATCCAAGACAGCAGCCATGGGAGAAACAGAACCCACTGGGAATATAATGCTTTGAACCCTTCTATCGTAGACTCAGGTTGTGTCCTGAACTGGCAGGACAATAGGGAGGAGGAAGAGGATTTCAATGAGGGATGTAGCTGGGACTGGGACACACTGGGGCAAGATGAGGATAGAGAGGGTGGTGTAAGAAGTACTCACAGGGTGACAGAGGATGATGAGGGGTGAAGGTCAGTGCACAGGAACCAGAGAAGCAGGATCCATTGCCAGAGGGCTCCCTGGTTTCACAAATATGGTGGGCTCTGAGGTGTAGAGAGCAGTGGGCAGGACTCTCCAGGAAGCTGAAGCAGGCAAGGGCCCACAGCCCAGCTGGCCAGGTGGAGCTTGCTAGCTGTGGGAGAAGGCATGTGATTCCAGCTGGAGTAGGGTTGGAACAAGTGAGGGTCACCTGCCTCATCAAGCCCAGAGGTTGCAATCAGCATGCAAAGTATAAAAGGGCAGCAGAGCTGAGGTACTGTGTCGGTTCACGTTGATGGACCTCAGCTTGGATGCTCCAGGATCTCTAAGGGACTGTGTTTCAGTCTGGGCTTTGGGCATGTGGACTGACCCTGGGCTGGGGACTTGACACCAGGTAGGGCACTTCTGGAATGGTCTACACAAACCTGGTGACTGTGGTGGTGTGAATACCAGCACTTTTATTTGGTTGTGTGAGAGAGGCACCAGAGATTAATCTAGCAGTAGCTGTAGTACTTTTGAGTACAGCTGAGGAGAAATGTTATGTTGGATAGTCAGTTCATTTCAGTTGGTTCACAAGCCCTAAAAGCAATGACCAAATGAACTTAGGGCTTCAACTTTTCCATTCCAGGCATTTCTGCTTATTCTCCAATATTGTTCCATTTCCACATTTCTCCCAAGCTATCTAATTTGAACCTCTGAACTCCATGGGGAATTTAGCAACATCTTTCTATCTGGCTTTTGAAAACACCATGAATAACAAGTTTCACGCATGAAATGGCTTTTGAGCCACTGTTGTTGTGTCACCTTGAAACTGTAAGCTGTACTTTTTTATAGTATACACCTATGAATGCAACTCTATTTTCCTAATGCAAGGGGGGGGAGCCCAAATATCTCTTATTTCCACCATATATATAATAAAATGTACACACTGTTACCTATTAAGCAGAATCTAATGAAACTTTGAAGACAAACACAAATTCCAGGAAGCAATGCTTCTGCTAAACAGACGTCTAAGCCTTAAGTACAGTTTTGAATATGTTAGATCAATTAGCAACCTCTGAATGTTAGAAACATCTAAACAGTGTCATGGAGATGAAAGAGGCTATCTTTGAATGAGAAAAAAGGGAATCGAGAGAAGATTAAATTATGTCTGCAGTCTTAATGAATCAAAGACTAGAAGGTGGTCTGCAAATTGGCGAGTTTTGATGAAATATTAAGGAGAGTGATTATTGATGAAAAATGAATAAGCCTTTTTGATTTCAGCAACCTTTAAATCACATCTCATTAATTAACACAATTTGGATGCATTCATCCCTATCCTTTAGTCATACTTTCTAAGTGGGTTGACACCACCTCCACATCTGCTCCTGTGCCAGAAAATGTATATGTGTATGTGTATATGTATACCCATGTACTTAAGCTTCCATCATGTCTACAAATCATCCAAGTGATAGAACATGCTAAGGGGCAGGTGCTGTTTGCATGGTTTGTGAATATGTCAGGAAACCTGCAGGTCTATCATTTGTGTGATTTGCCAGGTAGCCAGACCATGTGGCTTCTAACTGCATCAGCAAAGGTGAACAGCCACATTAGTAAAATTAAATGGAAAGGGGGCCTAATAGATACATATAAGATTGCAGCAACTGTGAAGTAACATTTTATGTACCAATAATGCACAAGGAACAGTTTCAGTTCTCCATTTAGCATGTAACCACCCAATGCCATATGCACTTTTTATTGTGTATCTCATGAAATGTAAACTTTCAGATCAGTGTAACAGAATTGCAAATCTAATAAAACCAATACGATGTCATTATGCCAGGGTTAGTCAATATGGTGTCATCTTGGTATTTTGGACTACATCTCCCATTACATGAGTGTAGCCAGGTAGGCAGGACTTTTGTCGGGTGGGGGGCAGAACCGACATGACTGGTCAGTTAAGTATTTCTATTTTACTTGATCTAGGGAAGGGCAAACACCACCACCCCCCGTCCTCCCTTGGCTACATCCATGATCCTCTACCATTACCCATGTTGGCTAGGGCTGATGCAAATTGCAGTCCAGAACCCCTGGAAGGCACCATGTTGGCTACCGTTCCATAATCTATGACCAAGCATTTGACAATTATTGCAGTGAGTACATCCAACAATTATATATTACTGTACATTGAAGAAGTATTTATTTCATTGAAAGCTTGGCATTATGAGTCAAATTCTGGAACCCATAGCTGAAATTTGGTGTATAACACCATTGTTATCCATGAGATAGTACAGGTCTAGGGGTTTACAAGGATGAACAGCTGAACTGAACTGACAGTTAAGGATGTCTAGAGACCATGATGATATGCCTGTGATGCTTTTATGAGAAGATGCCGTATATACCGTGTCAGTTCGTCTAGCTCAGTATTGTCTACACAAGCCTCCTGTCAAGAGCCAGAGTCAGGAATAGGGCAGCAATAAAATAACACCAGTGTCCTTCATTCAAAGTGACTTGATCAAAGCAGCTCTTCCCAGTAGGTCTTGCCCCAATGAGGCTGTTGTGAGGACCGAAGGACCCTGCCTTCCCACGGCTTTCTAAGGATCGCCTCCCAGCAGCCTAAGGCTCTGCTGTCTTATCAGTCATTGCTCTGCCCTCTTCATTTCTCTGCGTTCTGGGAGACCGGGAGGGAAGTTGGTCACAGTAGGAGGGGAAGATGCCCTGAATTCTTCTGCAGCCTGTTTCCACTGCCTCCTGGCAGTGGCAGAGCTTCATGCTCCAGCACCAGGGAGCGGAGAGCAGGCGTCCCGGGAGCGTGGCGTGCTGCCTGTAGGGGCGTGGTGTGCTGCCCGTAGGGGCGTGGTGCCCAGCGTGGGTGGGGGGAGCAGCTGCAATTGCACCTTGCCAGGATCACGCTGCCAGGGGTGGTGCACTCCCCCCACCTCTTCCTGCCCTAGTGCCTCCTGGCCTTCCCTCCTTCCCTGCCTCTGAGTCTGGACTGCTCTCTGCCAGAGCCTCTGCCTGTTTACTAAACCCTGTTGCCTCTTCAGCTTCTGACACCACCTCCTCCCAGTCTGTTCTCTCTTCTTCTTCACTTATTTTTGTCCCACCACCAATCCCTGAGCTCTGAGCCTTCTTCCCCTGGGAGTTCCTGAGCTGTTGCCTTCCACCACTCCTCTGCATTCAGCCACCTCCCTCTATCTGCTACCCTCCATAAGTTTTGACTACAACTCCTTTCGTACCTGACTATTGGACATGTTGGCTGGGGCTGATAGGAGTTGTAATGAAGAAAACACACAGAATGTCTCAGGGGAAGATTAGTTTACATTGATTGCAAATGGCTCTCCAGATTTTCAGATTTAAGTCTTTACTGGCCCCATCATGAGATGCCAGGGATTGGATGTGGGACTTTTTTCATGCAAAGCAGGCGTTTTACCACTGAGCGACAGCCCTTCCCCAATACCACTTTTTTCATGAACCAAACAAAATATGGATTTTCTCAGACTGTGCATAGATACATTTTAAGGTTTTTTTATTTATCTCAAAAATGTGAGATTTTTAGAGTACCGAGGTGACCTGAAGGCAAATAATTGTGTGCTAACCTAATACCCTTTTAAACGCACCCCCAGATATCTTGAGATGACCAAGTTTTGTGGTTTGTTGTGATTACAAAGATTTTCCATATTAACAAGCGGCATTCTGTAACATGAGGGAAACAAAAGTAGTTTTCCTTTTTCATCTTCTAGCAGTAACATGCCTTACCATTCCTTTTCTGCATATAAATTCTAGCATTACACTGATTAAGGGTGACAAGTTCTGACTCACTCCTAAAGTAAATTGTACTTTAAAAAAGCTCTCTTGGCTTGCTACTGACAGCTGTTGTGCTTAAGTAAAACATTTGCAGAACTGGATTGAGCTATTGCTAGCTCATAACAAAGAATGATTGTTAAGTGACCTTCAATTATTTTATCTATAAGGTGAACTTTTGGGTGGGCCTCTCATTTTCTTCCTGTTTTGCAACCTGCTAGGGGAAGCCCATTCCTTTCTTATCTTTCCATACATTCTCCCATGTATAGAATGTCTTAAAGAACCATGCCAGGCTTTAAAAAAAAGAATAATAAACAAACAGTTTCAGCCCTTTGATTATAAAACAAACCTCATTAAGGCGATAAAGGCAGGAAAAAAAAATGGGGCAAGAAAGCCACAATTATTTGTCCATTGTAACTGCAAAGTTAACTAGTTTTGCAGCCATATCAGCTTAGTCTTGCTAGAAAGACTCAAGAATATCTGTCTAACACTCATTATGAATCCTCCCCGCTATACCTTCAAAGTCATAACCCAAACACTGAACAGAGTCACAGCAAATATACTTCACAATAGGGGCTCTGCATAAATCCTCATGAATTTATATTAAAACCGGATTTTTATTGCATCCGTCTTGGCAGGAGGGAGAGTAGTAACCTAAGACCACTAAATACCAAAGTTAGTGGGACCAATTGCTTCCTTTACTCAGAGTCTGTGGAAGAGCAAACAATTCTTATTGGTCTGTTTGGGGAACAGATGAAGGGCCTGTTGGTTCATGTTACAAGCAGCAGTAAAATAGAAAACTGCATATCAAAGTCTATAAATCAAGTGCAATATTCAGAAGTCAGTCATTGTCAGGATTTTTTGGGGTGTTGGTGATGCTCATGACCACCTTTGTCTATAATATCAATATTCCCTGCTCCTCAGCAGGATATGCTTGCTTATGGTGACAAGAAAAGGTTATTTTTCATATTCCCATTGAATCCAGACAGAAGGGTTTGTGGTAACAACTGGGAACCCACCAATAGCTGAAGAAAAACCAGTAAAAAATACTCATCAGATACATGTTATCCAAACAAGAATACAGGTACGTTGAAGGAAATTACCTGGAATTTTTAAAGTATGACCAACTAACTTGTCCAGCTTCATATCAGAGGCCAGGCTGTTTGAATGTGTTCATCTGTCAAATCCTTTGGATTGTCAGATCTCATGCTATGGTTCCTAGAATCAGGTTTGGGGATTCAGCCTCATAATGGCAAGCTAATTTCAGGACTGTTACCTAGTCCACATCACCTGATAACTTAATGACATCTCCTAAGTGCATAAATGTGCAAGTCTAGTTGACACATGCCTGCCACCTGGAAAAAAATGGATGGGAATACTCGGTACAAGACAAAATGGCCTTTCCCCTGAATTCTTCCATTTTTCAGGGCTATCAAATCTCTAGCCTTTGCCATTGTGCTTGCTACTATAACATGCTCACAGGTCAAATCCACATACCAGATTTTTTTTACTTCCAGGATTTGGCAACTCTGCTGATGTGACAACATATATTACAGAATATAGCAGGTACAGTTTGTCCTGCAGGGCCTTCCTTTGTATGCTGGCTACCAATCTGACATGAAAGTCTATCAAGTTTTTGTTCTCTAGCAGGGATGCCAACCTGAATAAAATATTGTGGGGGCCCAGGTAAGCCCCACCCCACATAATTGATTACATGATGCAGTGCACACAAACCATTTGAATGGGAATGCTCATCAAATTTGTGGGGGCACGGCCCCCTCAAATATTTTATTGTGGTTGGCCAAAGCCCCCACAGCCACTAGGAGTTGGCTCCTATGTTCTCTAGCCACACAAAGTTTCTACATCCATGTTTTTGCCTTGAAAGTGCTTTCTCACACCCACACTTTCAACAGCAAACCCCAATGGCAGATCATAAGCTGCCTTAAACACCTATCGGATTCAAACGTAGTTTGCCATGGTGTGGGTGGGTGTTTTGTGTGTGAGAGAGGTTTGAAGATAACAAGTTTAACCATCGCTTAGGTTCATGATCATTTGGATCTCAGCCTATTATACTGAAATTTTTGAGGTCAGTTGAAAGGGAACACATTAGGTATCTGGCAGGGTTCGATTTGTGAAATGAAAGGTATCAAATCCCAAGGTTCCTTTGAGTAGGCACACTCATTCGCAAGCAGGGCTTTCATAACCCTACTCATGGACACTAGAGAGCAATGTTTGAGTGCAATGCTGATGCTGTTTTAAGGAGGTGAGAAGTTGAGTTGCCTCAGGGGCCTCTTCTTTTGTTTCACAAAAGGGAACAGGCCCCTTTCTCAAAAAAGTTTAGCAGGTCTGGCTGTCCTTGAGGCCATCAGCAGTTGAACTGACTTTCGAGATCCTGAGGCGCACATAACAAACAGCAACCTCACACAGTTATTCATAACTATGTTGAGTGAAAGCATTCCCTTTCTAGCAGACTCATTAAAACTGTCCTCAATGGGACTAATTCGCAGAACGAGGTGCAACTCAACATAAGCAAGCTTGCCCATTTGGGGACTTATAAGTAACCACAGCAAAAGGTGGGGGAGAGTTAATAAATCCACAGGCTTTCTCCAGAATGCATTGCGGCTGGGAATAGTAATAAAATTGTGACCTTTCACTTTTGCCATAGCAGTTCTAAGGTACGACTTCATAGCAAGTCTAAACCTCTCCATTAAAGAGAAAAAAGAAATAAATTTCCAGCACTTACAGAAAGTGTTATCCTGAGGAATAACTCGTATCTCTCCATCTATTATAGGTTTGGCAGAAAGCTTAGATTTATATGCAGTGGCACCTCAGCCTTTAAAGATCATTCACATGACTGACATTACAAATAATGAAGTTTAATATAATATTCTAGTATCTTGCTTTTCCATTTTAAAGAAATATTTACCTTGATATTGCTATGTAATATTTTACAGCTCTAGTAAAATATGACTCAGAAGGTGGTTTTTTTATAGAGGCCTCCGAGAGCAAGTCTTTTTATTCTTTTTCAGAGCATTTCTAAATTGTATTACTGAATAATCCACTGCCTCTCAGAAGTTAAGCTGAGGTAAATATTACGAGATAAACAACAGCAAAATAAAATGGTCTATTGCTTTCCTATGACAGCAGTGTATCAGGATCATGTGTGACAATTTTTAAAACTCAGCATACATGTTTTTTTTTCCAATAGACTAAACAAAGGACGAGATGAATTTTTTCCCTGCTTATTCTGTCCTGGCCAAAAATTCTTCAGTCTATATATTTCTATGACATAACCTCATCCCACTTTTAGCAGAACAGGAACCAGTTTAGCATAGGTTTCCCTTTTCATTTTTTCCCTTTTAATGGCAAAGCGAATGCAAAAAGCATATGATTACGGTATTTACGCTTCCATTAAAGTGTCCGCAGCAAGTTGGGTGATTCTAGCCTACTATTTTGAAGCTATTTAGGTTTACAGCAGCACGGTGCCCATTTCATTTCAATTATATTTGAGGACAATGCACTCTTGGTGGAAACTGATGGCACGGCGACAGCCAGTAAATGTCCATTAGCAGCTGTCTTTTCATGGGGTTCTCTCTCTGGATGGTGGGTCACAGCATATTCTCTCTCTCCTCCTTCTCTTTTTCTCCCTGACCCTTCTCTCTCTCTCTCTCTCTCTCTCTCTCTCTCTCTCTCCCTCCCCCCTCCCACATTTAGCAGCATCATTTCAATCTGAAATAATTATTATAGCAATAATGATAAAAACCACAGCCAGTATTGATCAGTCTTTTTCTTTCTTTCTTCCCTATGATGTAAAACGCACCAGCAACACACTTCTTAGCTTGGCTAAAAGCTCTTGCTACAGGAATACAATTCTCCAGACACCGTTTGGTATGGAAACAGAAGGAATAGAAGGAAATAAACCAATTATAAACTCCATCTAGAGTCCCCCCCCCCAAACTCTCTGTGACTCTCTGATGCTCATAATGAAGAGGTAACCATCGAGGGGGGGGGGAATACAGCTTAGAATTCCCAAATAATGTCTGAATAAAACAAGGAACTAATGTAGCAATGACCATGGATAATTCTTTAGCTGAACTTAAAATTAACTCTTGGTGAACAATGCCAGAGCATTCTTAATGAGAAATGTTTGGTAAAAAAATCCAACCATTTGTTTGTAATGGAAAATACCTTAATTTTTAATTTCTCTGAACATTACCAAGTGAACATTTTGGTATGTTTCAAAGGAAATTACTTCATTGGAATTAAATCTATTTGAATATAAACTTGTGAGGATCAGGATGGAAACTGGCATAATTTTAACAAAACCTTCACACTGTTATCACTAACCTTTTATAGTGATTTCAGTGGGACCCTTAATATAAAAAGGGACTTTTGACTATCGACTTGCTTGTAGACTCAACCACATCTTGACTCAAGCCCAGCAACATATACATTGTCAGGTCAGGCAGCTTGCATCAAAGCAGGTCCCACTGTACTAATGCCTGCCTACCCGGTCTAGCCCCCCCACTACCAGAGAACACAGATCTGGTGGCTGCAAATTTGCTGGTGGTGGACATTTTGTTTCCCCCACAATGTCCTTGATGTTGTGTTGGTTTGGAGCATTATGGGAAAGCAAAACTGTGCCTGCCATAAACATATGATGGCCAAATGGCTGCTGCCATTTTGTTTTCCCCACAATGCCCTGGGCACATGCAACATCTAGGACATTATAGGAAATACAAAATTGTGTATGTCAAGAAGCAGCTGGTCCTTATTGTGAACTTCAGGAGGGCCCCGTTCATATAGGAGGTTGCCCGCCAAGAGTCCTGAAACCTGGAGCTACACGTTGCCAATCTACATATAAACACTAACAAAATAATGCACTTAAGGCAAATCTTTTTTGTAGCTTCACGTTAAGCACAATGATAATGTTGGAAAATCTGGAAAAGATTTAAGATTGCTTTCTCAGCAACAGTGCACTTATGTGCTGGACCATTTTCCTTAGAGTTTAGTTCAGGTGAAAACTTTTAAAACAACCTTTGGTCCGAATGTAATTTTTTTCTTGGCATTACACACAGCATACTGTGCTGCACCATAATAGCTGTATTAGAAATTAAATAGCTCAATAAAACCTTCTGGGAAACTACTGATATTTGTTGTTTCTTACGGCACCAAGAATGATAGGTAAAAGGAGATCGAGCAAAGCTGGGTCTGGGAAATGCAACAAAAAGCTTGAAGCAGCAGACTGGTCCCATCTACAGTAATATTTAGCATAATTATAGGAGTGCAGTTATGGCCCTGTATTAAGGCTGAGATGGATGGATCACAGTCTGTGCCTATAACGAGAAGGGAAACAATAGGTTCTGCAGCTTACAGTTAGAAAATAGCTCCGTAGATAGATATTCTGATGTCTGCTATTGGGAAAGGTGCAAGAAAAGCCATTTGCCCCTCTCAGATGGAAAACATTGCTAAGCCAAGTGTCAAACTTGTCATAGTCCCTAATCCTGGGGTGTGACCACCCATCAATCACGTGACATCACAATGATGTTTTGCGTCTAGTTTTTGCAAACTGGTATGAACAAAGGCCTTGGCAATTAGCCGACTGTAGTGCTGTTCATGGAAGCCCCAATGATCATCACTGCCTGGATGGTTAGGTGATCAAAAGGGCTGCCATGAACAGCACTCTGTAAGCTGCAACAACCAGCTCTTTGTCAGTGCTTCAGAAATGCTGGGCAGGGAACCTTGCAGGTGCTACTGATAATCAACCTCTGTTTTAGCTCACCCATGTCTTTACCTGCCCCACACCTGATCCCATATGCAACAAGTGGTGTGGCTTGACCCAAATGACTTCATGGGCCAATTGGGGAGGCCTGGCTGGCCTGTGGTTCAAAAGTTCCCCAGCACTGCTTTAGTCTATAAAAATACAAAGTCATTCTATAGTGTCAGGCCATTGGGTCTATATATTCCAGTATTGTCTACTCTGAATGGAAGTCAGGGGACTCTTTCTTTGTGTTGTCACCTTTAAATGGAAATGATCAAGACTGGAACTGGAGATTTCTGAATGCAAGGCATGTTTTCTATGGCCTCTGCCCACAGAGTTCTTACAAATTCTTAATCTTTATATACCCTGACTCCCTTCACTTCTTTCTTCCACTCTCAACTTCTACCCCTTTGTTTGGTTTTTATACCTTCTATATCTTGCCTGCCTTCTTTTCACATGCATGGCACTGGATTTGGTGAAACTTGACCTGCCTAGAAGTGGCTGTGAACAGGAAAAAGCATTTCTTTTCCAGCCTTACAGTTCAGTTTGGAATATGAGCAACAACAATGAAAGAGTATCTTTATTACTTTGAGCTTAGTATGAATTGTTACTAGCATACCAATCATAGATCAAATTAAGTAAAGGTCCACAAACAGCTTAGCAGCAACCTCTAGTATGGTAATCAGTAAAACAAAAAAATCCACAGTTTTTAAACTGGGCAAGAAGGAAATTAGGAATTGGGTATGGCTAGGTTGTCATATCTAAAGCTTCAAGATTAAAATGTGTTGTTTATTGCAGGAATTGGTGTGAAACGGTCAAAAGGCTGACAGAGAGACCCACCTTGGGGTCAAGAAACAGTGGCCTAAATAATTCTGTTTGCACCCCCTTTCCAAAACAAAAGCAATATTCTCCCAGGCACTGGCCTGGAAAACCAAAGTCAAATGCTACCCACAAGCACCACAGCTTATTACTAGAACTGCCAATAATTGAACCAGAAGCTGTTCCAAGTTTGACTTTAATTTGAATTATACTAAACAGTGCAATTTGGATCCAAAAGCATTTCCAGGAGATGATGAATTGTGTTAGGATCATCTGAAAAGATTGTACTGCTCATTCCATTATGACTTGATTTGTGTGAATTCAATATTTTTCTCTACAAAGGCTTTTAAAAAGCCATTAATAAAATGCAGTTCTGGCTTTACAGCTGATGAACAGTCACCTCCCACAGCCAAAAATAATAAAATAAAATAAAATACAAACCAGACATTGGAAGCAGAATATTGACTGCAGCCTGGTGCCTACCTGTCTGCAGGTGAAGACTTGGAATTGCGTGCTTTCTTTACTTGGGCATATAACGCTTCAACCGTTGGCCCTTCCCTAGGGCTCTGTGGTCTATTGTTCATTGTGCCACTATTTATGGAGGAATTATATGAAGCAATTCCAGCATACATTGAGTCACCATCACATCCAAAAGTCCTGTTTAATTCTTGAATCTCGGCATAATCCCGTTCCCGAGCTTGTCTCTCGCGAAACTCTCGAGTCTTGGCTTGAATTCTGGAAATGAGAAATAAGGCTAGAAATATATTTGAAAGCTGGGTGCAAAATATGCTTATATTCATGGGTAAGTAAAACCTACTGGGGGGAAATCACAAAAGTGCTAGAGTGCAGTACTTAAGAATCATGGGGCTTTAGTCAGAGTTGGACTCTGGAGTACATTTCCTAACTCTTTAGAAATTTTGTGGATGGGGAGACGCATATAACATACGTAACTCAAGGTTTGCAAGTTGCAGGCAGCACAGCAGTGTTTCCATGTGACCATACTGATGGTACCAAATACCTGTTTGGGTGTTATTCCTCCTGTCCTCCTTCTCCATGGGCTCATTATACTCATTATACTCAGGCCAAAAACCCATCTAGCTCACCATCTTGTTCTCACAGTGGCCAACCAAATATCCAAGAAAAGCCTGGAAACATAACCTGAATGCAACAGCACTCTCCTAACAAGTGATTCATAGCAACTGATATTCAGATACTGCCTCCAACAGTGGAATTGAATATAGCCATTGTAGAGTTTTAGTTTTATTATGCTATTTATTTTAGCATTGGAACTCCCTTAGTCTGGATATTCAACTTGCTTTCTCATTAGGTAAGATGCTGTCACTCAAACAATTCTTACCCTGCCATATGTGGCTTGCAGATTGCCTCATAAAACTACAAGTGCTTTGATTCTGTTGCATGTGGTAATTATTAATCATTGGTGTTTGTATGATGATGTATTTCACACCATAATGATATCACATTGCAACCCAATGCTTTCAGTATTCTTTACCATTAAAAGCATATGGTGGAGGTTTTAATCTTACATTTAATCTAACTCTGCGCTTCATCTATTCACAGATTATTTAATGCTTTTTAGCAATCCCGCTTTATGGTTTCTATAAAGAACTCGTAAGAATATCTCGGAAGGTTAAAAGCTGACGTTATTTAAATCAATAGAAAACTTTCCATTGACTCGGTGAGGATAGCATATCATTCATTCATTGACTGTATAAATATCTCATTGACTGTATAAATATCTCATTGAGTAATACCTATAATTAATAAGAAAATAAGCATCTCCACATATTGCAGCCACATTTCTTCTGTGAATTATGTATTATAGACATTTGAATGTAATTTAGATAATGTTTAATACAGTAGTATTATGGCTAGAAATATTAGCCATTCCCATTTAGAAACTACACATTTTGGTTTTTTAGGTGCATTACTAATATTTGCACCTGCACATGGAAAGTGTAGATCTGAAAAGAACGTATTTTCAAATATTGTGTATCATACAGGTACACTTAGAAAAATGCATTTTATCAGGACACACTACATGTGCCTATTGTCTACTGCAGGGGTAGTCAATCTGACATCCCCCAGACATTGCTGAACTACAATTCCTATCATCCCTAGCCATTGGCCATGATGGAATTTGGAGTTCAACAATATCAGGAGGGCAGCATGTTGGTTCCCCCTGGAGTAGACAATAAGAACAAATAGCACAGATCTAGGCTGATACAGCAGCACCCTTGGGCACTTTACCATGTGAGACAGCAACACAAAATTCCCCCGACTGCATTTATGGGTAGGGTGGAGGTATAAAATTGGTATGAAAGCACACAGGCAGCACCAAAATGACTGGAGGCGTAAGTAGTTTAGAAATACATGTTACAGCTTGACTAACGCTACAAATCAGAGACACATGCGGAGAATTCACTATCCCTTTGATTATTCAGATAATTGCCGCTGCCTTTAAAAATTAGAGTAAACATGATGTTTAAGCGCTTTTAGCTGCAAAGTATTGGACTCCTGTAGTGCAAGTTGGATAATTTGATAGGTTTTCCGGCACTGTTAAATTTAACAGCAATAAGAGCAGCTCACTTCCAATAATTGCGTATTAGAATGAATCATCCTTAAATGGTTATTTGGTATTAAGAGGGTCCCTCATCTGCTGTGGCAGGGAGAGGGAAGGGTTGTAATGGGCGTGCCTTTCAAGACTTCAGATCTGTATCACGCAAAGCCAGACATAGGCAAACTCAGCCCTCCAGATGTTTTGGGACTACAACTCCCATCATCCCTGACCACTGGTCCTGTTAGCTAGGGTTGATGGGAGTTGTAGTCCCAAAACATCTGGAGGGCCCAGTTTGCCTATGCCTGCCTGGCAGAATCCGAGACCAGGGAGAAGAGTCGGTGAAAGAAGACTGGAAAAAATTTAAGGACTACTTACAGAAATATTGCAAAATTAAGGAACTTTAGAAGGATGTTGGATAGAAACTAAGAGGTTTTTAGCTGTAATGCTTTAAGAGACATGGGAAAAAAAGGTTCACAATTGGGTAAAAGATTAATGGTAAGGATTTGCTGAACCAACAAATTGAATTGGAATACAAAGAAGGGAGGTATGAGGAGGTCCGGGGAAATAAGAGTAAGGAAGATAGGCTATGAATCATTATTGTGTTTTTAACTGTTTTATTTTGTATGTTTTTTCTTACTTTTTACTTTTTTGCTGTAATTTATATTTTTTTCTTTGTTTTCTGTATTTTTGTGAAACTTTAATAAATATCATTATAAAAAATAAAAAAAAAGTTTGCCTATGCCTGCCCTAAGCCCTGCAAGTATGGGGTGGTCAAATTGGAGAAACCCTGTTTCTGTTTTATAAGCTATCAGTCTTGGCTGGCAGACCAACAAACCTACCATCACCACCTGCCCAAAAGAACACACAGTATTCTAGATGTTCTAAAAAGTATATATTATTTTTTACCTAGAAAGGAATCTGCACTTTGGTCATGACTGCTTGGCTATATTGCATATCCTGTTGTTCTTTCCTCGCAACATACCAATGTGACATGGAAATAGATCAGCACTACTAATCCTGTAAACTGCCCTGACTCTGCAAAGAGTAACTGGGTGTGAATTGGTTTAGTGAGTACTGGATGTTGTAATGTACCAAGCCACAGTTTGTTAGGCATGACGCTCAAGAGAAAGGACTATTTCCCCAAATCTTTATGTAAGATCACAGGAACATGTGAAGCTGCCTTATACCAAGTCAGACCTCTGGGCCATCTAGCTCGTTATCATCTATACTAACTAACAACAGAGCTGCAGGATTTCAGACAAGGGTCTGATGCTGTAGAGTGCACCTGTGAACTTTTACATCTCTGTTGGTACTGTGACATATGAAATGCAGTGCAACTATGAAAGTCAATCAGCTTCCAACTAATTGCCACCGTTAAAGCCTTGAACGATATATTTGAATAAACTAAATCTTAATTACCAATGTGGGCTGCTCATTTTGTTGGTGTTGCTTTTTAAGGCAGAGGACCACTGGAAATTTAAAAGCGAAAGGACATTACAGAGAAGACCGAGAACTAGGATGGATTACATGGCCCACAGATATTTGTTTTTCCTTAGCTGTCAAATAGGGTGGTCCATGTACAAATATATGTGTCACGTCATGGCCAAAGTGCAAGTAATTGTGTGTTGAGTAGGATTCAGAAGACTATAACAAAAAAACATTACTACACCAATTAAAAATACCAAAGTGAGATATCAGTTTGTATTTACAGTCGATAGAGTTTCTACTCCCAAATCTCTTTGTCTAGTCTACAAGTGCAATGAAAATATTTTGCTCTGAAGAAACAAAGTGTAGATTTCCCAGTAAAAATATTATGGTCTCATTGGGAATTCTGGAAATACACCAGAAGAGCATCCTGCTGTTGAAGCCCTGACTCCATCTGATATTTTAATAGCTCCAGATGGCCTTTACTGGAAGACAACACTCTCACTATTCTTTTATCATGACCCCTGAGGTCACAAATGATCTGCAAGGATGGTGCTATTGTCCTTTCAAGAGTAAGTTAGTATGCTTCCCATTAAATCTTTGCTGTTATTTGACCATACTTTCACTGACAAAACGAATACAATCAGTTTTCTCAAATAGCACTATATACAAAATTATAAGAAATGTGTTTTTCTGGCTGTTCCACAATAGTCCATGTTAAAGTGAACAATGCCATTTGATGCATCTTTTCATCAGGTGGTTTTCTAACCCAAACCACATGAGCAATCCCACCTATTCATTTATGTAAGAATGTTGGCCCTGAAAATAAAAATCTAAGCGCATTAAGGTCCATGTCTACCAACTTTAATGGATGTTCTAAGAACAGTGAGCTTATTGCAAGATTCATTGCTGTGAAATAATTAATATTCACATTTTTAATGAATTATTTGTCCTTTGCCATTGTCATAAATAAAGCACTCTGGATTTGCATAGACAAAAATATTAAATAAACTAATGCTCTAAATAAAGTAATAAGGTTAATTTCCTTCCTGCTGTCACTAAATTCATGTTAGCAGCCTCTCTTCAGCTTGACATCAATTAATGATTTTAATTCCACACTCTTGTCACTGTGCTCACTACCCTTTCCTCTAATTAAAATGGATGATGCATGATGAAGGGAAAACACAAGACTTCTGTTCTTGTAACATTTCTATTCATTAGTATACTTTTTTACAGCAAAAGGCTTGTAACTTTAATGGCACTAAAGGAAGATGAAGAAAGGCTGTATTATCTCTGAGAGGCGTAGGCTTTAACACCCTTAAGGGGAACAGACAATACATAAAATGACCATTGTTGGAGGACCAAGTTCTCCAGAACAAGATATCAATATAGTCTATTAATTAGTATGCATTATCTATTAATAAATGTGTACATGCACATGTACCTTTAAATGTATGCACATTCTATTTCATGATTATACTTTGGGTGTCCACAATCCAAATAAATGCAATTTATTGTGACATCTAACACTAAGTATTATTGGGCAAGAATGCGATTATTTTGCTGTGATGATATGACATTTATATAGGACAGTCTGGTGCGACGAGAAAACTGAGGAATGCTGGTTTTGTAAAGAGAGAAAATAAGTTTTTTACCATTTATGGAGTTATGGTAGTAAATGACTAATTAAATTTTCCAGAAAGATTAGATTCTTCAGTATGCTTCTTGAACAATGTAAACTTGAATGTCCCCATCAACATATTGGGTCTCAGGAAATCTTCATATTTTAACTATGGCAAGAATTCTGTACGGCAAGTCTTGGAAGAAGATTAAAAACTTAAAAAAATATAATTAGGACGATGTGGGAACAACTGGTGGCTATAATGCTAAGAGATTAAGGAAAGATAGCAACCCTACTGAATACATAGAGATCAGTAATTTACTATATGAAAAGAGATTTAGAAATATTAGAAATGTTGGATTGATTATATGCTGCTGTAGGGTAATCTGGTGACAGTGTAAATGCATACTTGAGAAATAATTTCATTCCAAGATGCTGCAAAAGGTAAGATATGGGTAATTAAAGCATTTTACTGTAAGTTATTTATATTTAACTTATGTTCATTAATTAATTTTGTTAAATGTATATACATTTACTGCATTGCATCTTCAAATCATAGTGCATATACCCACATAGTTTCTAGTTTTTTTGTTTACATGATGGGTGAGCAGTCATCACCTTGACGTGGAAGAAGGTCTCACTGTGTTTTAGGTCCCTACTGCCTTAGGTAAGTAATCTGTTGCAAATACAACTTTTAAAACCTCACTAAGCTTTCCTTCTGCTTCCAAGGGAGAAACTTTTCTCACATCACTTTTCAATTCAGAGACAGGCTGATGACAAAAATATCATGGTACAAATTATTTGGAAAGACTAATGTACTCCTTTTAGCCATTTATAATACATTCTTAAATATAAAGTAGCGTCCTAATGCCATCCTTACAACTGAAGAGTCTTGGCAATGCACAATACATTTAGAAACCAAGACTGAGAATCTTTGCTGCAGTCATTATTTTCAATCCCATGAGCTCCTAGACATTCCACTTGGCAAATTTCTGTCTCCACTTTCTTCACACTTGGGATCAGAAAGACCCACAAAACCAGTGCGGGGAGCTCCCCCTTCTGGTTCAGGAGCTGTGAAGGACAGAGGCTGTTTTCATTTCAGCACTGATACCCACTGACTAAATTTGCAAAGAGACGGATACTAACAGATTCACTTCATAAATGTCATCTTATTTGACTAAGAAGCAAAAGGGTAGCAAAGTTTTGAAATAATAAACACCAAGGGTGGTTGATTTGTTTTTTTTCAAAGAATGGCTCACATTTAGAAATGCACAAATACAACTGTTAACTTTTGGAGACTGATCAATCTTTAGCACTAACTCCCGAAGCTCTTTGCAAGTCAACAAAGTCAGGAGCTCTTAAATATTTTAGAACAGCATTTCAAGAAAACCCCATCACGACCCCCTCCAAAATCTAGCTATCCCTGTAAGTAATGTCATTCCAACTTGCCCTTGGGAGCTAATCACTGGCAAGATGATTTTTTCTGTTCTAAACCAAGACAGCCAATAGTTAAGCGATTAACAAGTAAACATGCATTTATAAATAAATATCTAAATAGTATTATTATTGTTGTTTAATTAATACACACTGCCAAAAGAACTGACAGACAAGGATGCATATCTAAGCTGTACAGAGATTATAAATGTTTGGAATGTAAGCTTTTGCGCCTCTCAAATCTCTTCTTTAGGGCCTTTCTGGAAAATCAATTTTTTTAGTGTGATAAATGTGTAGCGGTTTTCCATTTGTTGCACGGGATCCAGACATTTTCCCTTAAGGAAGCAATTCTGTTTCGGTAATGTCACAGTTTCCCCCACATTCAAGCCACAATATATTGCTGCTTGGAGGATGTAGCTCTTTTCCCAGTTAGCAGGCTGCAACAGACTGCTGTCTTGAATATGATTCACGGGCACCTATTGCGTAGATTCCATGACATCACTGATGACAGCAGAAACTACCATTATGCTTCCGCCATGCTATGATTCGGACTCTAAATCCTTGAAAGTGGCTTCTTTCAGGAGCTGAAGTTTACAAGTATGGAAAAACCTTGTTTGCTTCATGCTGCCTCTTTCTCAGTTAGCAAGTCTTCATATTTTGCCTTGAGACTCCAGCAAGAATCCTTGCAAAGATTAAACTGAGATGGGAGTTGTATAATCCTGTGCTGTTACCCCCTCTGCAGGCTTAACACATTCTTTCTGTCTCTGCTGAATATCTTACTATATTGCACTTAATAGGGAATGACATAATTGCATAATTAAGGGGAAGGGTCATATATCTGTGGGAGAGTATCTGTTTTTCCTAGTTTCGTCTACATGGTGATCAAAATGCTATCATTCTATCAATACAGGTGCGCCGACATATGTGTCATGTGTAGAATGCAATGTACTACTGTACTTTAAAAAAAAGATCATATTAGTTGAGTACTATTATAGGACCTTGCCTTATTTTCATTGGCCAGTATCAGGAATTGAAACTTTATCAGCCATGTTTGATATTTATATAATATAAATAAATATAAAGGGGGTAAAGAAATATTTACTAGATATTTGGGCACACTTAATAATCTCCTTTTCCGAAATAGCTTCCTTTTATGTGGGTTTCAAGGATGCACCAAGAATGGCTGAAGGAGTCTTGCTTCATACAAGATGGGATTCATAATAAAGCAGTGGGATACTGTATAAAAATGGCAGTCTTAATTCAATTCGTTCAATGGAAAATTAAGCTACATTAATTTGCTTGTCTTCTAATCAATGTGAACAAAATACTTTCAAGACTTCGAGCAAAATACAATGCAAGCAAAACACTATTAAAATTATAGAGTCAGGGCAAAATAATTTTATATAATTGTGGCCCTGATTGATTTTTTAATGGAGCATCCACTTGTTCTCTGACCCCGGTGGACTTTTGTTGCATTTTGGTTCTACACAGCAAATTCATTACACCAAACCTAGCTCCCTCGTGCATTTCATCATTAGAGAAAGCAAATTTGATATTAAGTTATTTGTGTCATTAACAGCACAGGAAGAAGCAAAAACAGAAATATTTCTAAAAACAAGCTACTGTCTAAATTGAAATGTTCTACTGGATCCCTAATAAATTTTTCAAGGATTGCTCAATGTTTCAACCACAGAATTTTTTTATTATACTGTTTTACACTCCTTGCTTCTCCTAACAGCAGTAAGTTTCAGGGCAGCCCTTTTAGATGGTCAGTTTCCTTGTGAGGAGCCATTTAACGTCCCCTTAATTATATACTATATTTATTCCAAGTAGTTTACAATGGGTTGGATCTTGACATATCTCTTTTCTGATTTGTTCTTTTTAGAATAATAATGAGCTATTGTCAACACTGTTATTTTTCTTAAACAATAATCACGCAATAAAATGAAAGAGAAAAACATGAGAATATAACAATCATAGGCAATTTACATTGGGAAACACATTAGTAACTGGCACTGTAGGAAGTAGGTTTGAAAGAAACTCCCAACTTCAAAGGAAAAGGGAACAAGTAGCATAGGAGATCCCAAGACCAACACCTCCCTTGTAATCATGAAAGGCCCAGTGAATGTATCACTAAAGTAATTATTCCAGCTGGAATATGCTTAGTGCAGGAGCAAAATGTGGGAGTCAATTCATGTAAAATTATCCATATATATATATATATATAGTTAAGACACAGGCATGGCTTAATATTTAGGGTTGCTTTCTCACAGTACAATTTTGGATGTGCACATTAGACTGAACATTTGTAAACTTATATATGTAACGTATGAGTGAAGTAAGTAATTTTTTTTGGGGGGGGGATCACATGCTTATGGCATGATCATACCTAGCTTGAGCGTAATCCAAGTTTGTGAAATGTTCTTGAGAGATGTGTCATTAAGTTCATATGTTACATTAGTGCATAGTAAATACAGTGCACAACCAATATACCATCACTTATTAAAATATATGTTATGATGGATTATTGCTTCTGTTCCTTGGGTTTACACAATACTAGGAATAAAGGTACAAGGTAGTGATCCTTACCAGGGATTGGCTATCAAGATCTCTCTCTTTAAATATAGGGCTAGGGAACACAGATGCTATTGAACTCCGCAACTCCAATCAGCCACAGTGAGGAACGATGAGAGTTGCAGCTTAGCCTACACGGCCACAGTATTGTTAGCCCAGAAATGGAAACAAGAAGAAATTCCGACGAAAGAAGAATGGTAGACGAAATTAATGGACTATGCAGAATTGGACAAAATGATAGGAAGGATTTGAAACTGGAGGGACCAGAGATTTACAGAAAATTGTAATAAGTATATGAATTATTTGAAGAGCAACTGTAATCAACAAATTACGCTAGGACTACAAGAAGTTTTGTAAGGAGAAATATACGAAGTGTTACAAAGTAGAAAAAGATAGAGATATTGGTTATGAGTTTGAAATGTAAAATTTGAATAAGATGCAAAAGTTTATTTAATTACTGTTGAAAATGATATGTTAAAAAAAACTAATAAAAAATTATATAAAAAAAGAGAGAGAGAGTTGCAGCTTAGCAACATCTGGAGAACCACAGATTCCCCCACCTCTGCTTTAAACTGAGGACATGAATCTAATTTTACTGTTGAGGGTATGTTTACAATTAGCCCAATTTATATTTCCAGAATCAGAAATAAAAAAAGCATGCATATTCGTGCCTGCATTAGAAAGCCATGAGAAGCAAACTGTTTCTTCTGTTGCTTTATCAGGTTCCCTCCTCTCTCTTTTTGTAACATTTGAAGCCATGCTAACAGAAAAGGAGGGGAACGTGTCTTGCCATATTTCCCCCGTCAGTTTCTATTTCCCCTGAAAAGCCTCCCCGAAGACTGGCAGCTTGCTAAGTTTAAGCTCTAAGAAGAGCACCCTATGAGACACGAGGGCTGCTGTCAGAAGCAAACGATGCCCACCCCTCATGTACATAGAGACCTCTCTGGAACCCAGCCCAAGAAACTACTTTATACTGGGAAGAATTTTCAAAACTGCTGGCGGACATCCAGTGTAAAGTACTAAGAGTTTTCTGATCGAAACAAACAATGAAATGCGTAGACATGTGTAGTCCTGCTTATAAAATTATGCACATATTTGTATTCCAAGGTAATTTAATGACGCAAATTAAAAAAGGAATCCGACTACAGTTCAACATGCAATCTAAACTGGAATAGCTTCATTAACGTCAATACTGCAGCACGCTGCAATTAGTCAGCGACCTATTTTCTATTAATATTTTTTCAAATTATAAATAGCCATCGTTGTTAGTGTTTAGCTTCACTGCAAAGTAAAATGTTGTAGGAATAGTGGCAGCAATTTAGAATCAACTGTTGCATCATAAAGCTAATCAAGTTAATTGACTTCAATGTGATTTTGTAGTGCTCTGGAAGTGACAGACTGGAATTGCAGGCCTGTGTTCAGATATAAGCATTTATGAGAATTAAATTAATGTTATTTGGTGCATGATTGTAGCTAGGAACTCTGGTCCAGATGTCCATTATGCACATGGGAGCAGCGCTGTATACACGCACAGCTCCTGCCTCATATAAGCCTCCTTATCCAATGCAATTCCAGGTTATTCCAGGCACACATTTCTTTCTGTGGGCATAACTGCACTGAAAAGTTGGGGAAGTATGCATTAGCTAGGTACGTGGGGATGCATTTGGTTGGTTACTGGAAAACTGGGCTTATACAGATGGGATTTGACAGAAGTAATTATATAAAAGCATGAAGATCTTAAATTTGAGGGGGAAATACTCCAGCAAGGAGTACTCACTAGTTATTTTATACCCAGCTATTTAATCTACACAACACTACAGGACAACAGGAAAAGGTTGATCTCCAGTGACAATATTTATTTCCAGCGAGGAGTTTCAAATTCAATTGAAGACACAGTGTAAAATCAACAAAAGTAGATACGCAAATGTTTTCAGGAAAAGATACAAAATTTATTCCAATTCCATATAAATATTAATGTTTTTGAAAGTGTCTAGACAATCAATTCTAGCACAGGTATACTTATTACTCCAGTTGCCCCTGTAAAGAAGGGGGAGTGGGGATGACAAATCATGAAACAGATGCCTGGTTGCTATAACAGCCTCGGAATATAGTCAAATTATCCTAGCTGATGTCCAATATATATTCTGCTTTCTCCCATTAGTTACATCAGCTCTACAAACATATTTGTATCTGAGTCATTTGACTAAAAATGAACTCCAGTGGAATGTAAATTACCAAACGTAAAAAAAAAACCTCTATCAAGATTTAAGCAAAAGACCAAGTCTACCTCTCCTGTTCTTGCTTCATTCGTATTCTCTCCTCTTCTGAAGTAACAGCTTCCTGCACTTTTATTTTCTCAATCTTGTCATCTTTTCGATGTTTGCCAAACCTGTTAATAACAAAACAAAAGTTCTAACTTGTCAACATGAACCATAATTGTGTAGGCTTCTACTCTCCACATACAAAACTCTGTGCTCATTATAGAATGACACTCAAACAAAGGGGGCGGGATGGAACGGCAAGGTAATCATCAAACAAATATCAGTTTGAACAGTTCAGCCTCAGTGATGCTTATATTTATAGTAGCACTCCTGGTGAGATGTTTATTTTTAAATTAATACCTGAACCATTTTATTGCACGTCCTGCTTAATTTACGTGTAAGTGCAATAAGCAGATACAGTTAAGCAGTGTACATGGAGGTAAAATTACTCCGTGAATGGAAGAGATTCTTCTGCTTTGCCAAACCCAGTGAGTGGGTATGGTGGGTACCTTTCCCTTCACTTTTTTGGTTCTGTTCTTTAACGCCACTTCTCTTTTTGCCCTCCACTGCAATGGATGGAAGGGAATTAAGTACACCAGCTCCAAGGCTGGTTTCACTGAGGGCTCACTTTGGGACCAGAAGGCTTAGGATTCTGCAGATCTTCTGGTGGGTGTGCCACCCTTGACACACATAGCCCAGCACTGCAGACGTTTCCAAGGGTGCACCATGGGGTCTTCTGATGGCATATATGCTGTCACACTGGCAATCTCCCTCTTTAGCAGTGCACCAACATCTATGCCATATCCAAAGCCCCCACTTCAATAATGCTTTCTTGTTTTAAGCCTGCAGCCTAAGTTTAAATAATTAATAAATAAATAAATAAACTACAGCACAACACTTCTGCATACTGAAATAAATCCACTAACTCCTCCTTTCTTATTTTATTTGTTGCACGTATATATCACACATCAACCAAGTCCTCTGGGCTGCTTACAAACTGTTTAAAAACTCAAGATTCAAGAAAGAAAGATCTAGAATGGTGTGATTAACATATACAAAGCAAACTTTTCTACACTGCACATCATTTAAAAAATAAATAAATTCATTCACAGAAACTGATAAAAACAAAGTAACACACTCAGCAGTATTAACACTACAGGTTCACAACGTAAGATAAGAACAAAAAGCTTACAGGGAAAATGAATCCAGGCAACTGGATGAATGTGAATATCCAGGGGTGAATATTCACACGTGAGAGAAACATGTTGCAACTACCGGCAACAACCAATTGACGTGCAAGCATGCATTGCATCAAACCTGGAAGTAACTTTTAAAATGGTGGAAGCTGCCCTAAAACAGCCCAGAAAGGGCAAAAAAGGTACAAAAACAGTATCCAGCAATCCCACAAGCCTTTGCAAGTGCAATCCCAGGAGCCCTTGCACTGAACATTGAAGCCTGAAGAGTTGGGAGTTTGAACAAGGAGGTTTGCAGGGAGTGATTGTGGTGGAGTTTGGTATCCAGTAAGTGCTGCTGGTTTTTTTAAGGGTTTTTCAATGGTTTCAAGAGGTGCACAGCATGTTTGCGGGCTTTTCCAATGGTGTTTCATATATACGTGATTTCATGAAACCACATGGTGCCTCATAATGTAATCCCCACATAAATTGGGAGTTTTCTGTACAAAGGTTCAATCATTTTCCAACATCTAGAGGGCACCAGGTTGGTGGTACTTTGATCTAAAGAAAGAGCAAGTTGAGCCCTAGAGTGTAGTGGCAAGAGCAGACATAGGAAAACTCAGCCTTCCAGATATTCTGGGACTACAACTCTCATCATCCCTAGCTGTGGTCAGGGATGATGGGAATTGTAGTCTCAAAACATCTGAAGGGCTGAGTTTGCCTATGCCTGGGCTAGAGCGTTGAACCAGGATTTGGGAGACCAAGATTCAAACCTTCAATCAGCCACAAAACACATCAGATGACCTTGGGCCTCTCAGCTTGGGGAGTGAAGAATTCCAGCCACAATTTAAATGTCCAGCTATGGTCTAAGGCAGCTCCATTACATGTCACTAAAACCAAAAGTCAGCTGGCCACCATTACCACCAAGCAAATAATCTGTTAAGAAAAAGCTACTTCCGTCAAAATCCAGCTCCACATCAGAAAATGGGGGTGGAGGTGGGGAATTAGAGAACTCTAATTCACAGTAAGGAAAATACAAGAGAAATGTTAAATGTCGTCTTCTCCCCAGATACTTCAAGATGTCATATTTTGCCCTGCTTAATGTATTTTTCAGTGCTAGTGAATAGCTTACCATTAAATATCAACAAACTGAATATCACACTCAGATTTTCTGAGTGTGTATGTGTTTCTCCCTTCCATTTATTGATGTAGGCTTTACATTAACTTATAGATGGAAATAAAAACACAGCTTAGAGTTCCTGTATAATTGGACCGAAAGCAATTTTTTATAGAATTATTTTTATGACAGATTGAAATAACGGTTGCAAATTAAAAATATCCTGCCTGTCCCAAAGTGTGAGAAAATGATGAGGGTGAGCGGATGAAATCCTCTTCACTAATTGCCAAGATACTCCAGGGTTGTTAATTTAACTCCCTCATTTTCCATTTGCAAAAAAGAGAAAAAAGGTCAGAGAGCACTCTGAGAAGATACCTGTGAGCTCTCCAAAACGATATGATGCTAAGTCCTCAAGTCAACTAATTTGTGACAGTTGGGACAAGCATCATTCTACATGCAAAAATGATTCTGTGCTTTTCTCTTTGCAAACATCCTAGAACATCTTCCCTCATATCAGTGCATTCTATTGCTATCTAGATTTTGGCATCTTGCAGAATCCCTTGCAAAGCACTGTCTTGCAGAGCTGCTGGGGGAGGAACAGATCACTCTTGCCAGAAATCTGAATTGCTTGCTTCAGGTTTCCCCACTCCCATTCTTCCATCCATTTCGACTTTCCTCCCAATTTCCCCCTCCACACACTCCATCTGACTATTGAGGCAGACAGAGACCTGCAGGTCTACCACCCTGTCCTATGAGTACTACAAACCTATGACAGGACTTTTCAATGGAAATAGCATGGACTGGACAACTGGGAAAGCTTGGAGAGTGGGTTTTCCCCCCTGAAGATGAAAAACATGTCAGTCCTGGGACATTTCAAGAGTGACATGAAGGAAGTCCAGCATAAAACTTAAAAGAAATAAAACCAACTCAAACAAATACGGGGCGGGGGGGGGACGTAACCAATGCTTATTTCATGATGTGAAACAACAATGTGCTAAATTGCATTTGCAGGAAGTAGGATGAGATCTAAGTTAACAAAATAATGATAAACATACCACCGGTTTCTTAACTGAAGGCCTTTTGAACAAAGGCCCTCTTTCCAGGTGGGAGACATCTGCAGAGACATCTGCATTCCTGGATAGTGCAAGGGTATTGGGCTTGCAGTTTTTTGTTTTAATTGTAGGATTTCTGGGAGCTGAAGCCCCGGTGAGGTTGAATAAAAGAAAAGGGTAGGAAGGGGGAAATTCTTGGTGCACAAGGGCTGGAGTACAGGTTTTAAAAGAGCGTAACAGGAGGGGCACTCTCAGTACTGATACTACATCATTGCCATCTCCATAGCAAAGCACTTACAGTAAGAAATTGTGGGAAGCCTCTCTAACATGCTTCAGAATGGACATCCCTCAGAATGAAATCATTTGCATTCAGCCCTGTTCCAAAGCAAGTCCCTGTTGCACAATCCATGGAGCAAGGAACCACTTGTAACTACATTCTCTCAAGAGTCTTAAAGCTAAATCTAAAGTTGCCTGATTTATTCAATGGTGGCTATCTGGTTTTTTTATATATTGTTTGTGTTTGGATTGTTAATGTATTTGAAGGACTTGTATGATTTTACTGTTTAAACTTATGACAATAAAGGCCAACAACAACAACTACATTCCCTATTCTCCTTGCGACAATGAAGGGATGCCAAGGTATAAACCTATGTCCTAATCCAGGGGTCAGCAACTTTTTCAGCAGGGGGCCGGTCTATGTGGTGGGCCAGACTATAGTTTTTAAAAAATAATTAACAAATTCCTTTGCCCCACAAATAACCCAGAGATGCATTTTAAATAAAAGGACACATTCTACTCATGTAAAAACACGCTGATTCCTGGACCATCTGTGGGCCAGATTTAGAAGGTGATTGGGCCGCATCCGGCCCCCAGGCCTTAGGTTGCCTACCCCTGTCCTAATCCAGCACAAATTCTGCCACCACAGGGAGGCAACAGCCAGAAAAAGGCAACCAAAATTATGAAGGAGGGGAAGAAACTCCCATATATGGAAAGGTGGCAGCATTAGTTGAGAGAAAAGGTGAGTACAAGGTGACATGGTTGACGTTTATAAAATTGTGCATGGCATGAAGAAAGTAGAGTGAGAAAAGCTTTTCTTCCTCACTCATAATGTGAGAATTCATGGGCACCCAAGGAAGTTGAATGTTGGAAGATTCAGGACAGATAGTTCAACTATGGAACCCATTCCCATGGAAGTTCTTGCTGGGGTTACTACAGAAGTCCAGTTCAAAACCAAACCATTGGGTACATACTCAAAATCAAACAGATATGTGTCTGTCATAGAATCAAAGTTGGAAGGGACCACGAGGATAATCTAATCCAACCCCCTGAAATGCAGGAATATTTCACCCAGTGTGTGGCCCAAACCCACAGCCCTGAGATTGAGCGCCATGCTCTACTGACGGAGCTATCAGTTCCCTTCAACCCCTGATGCATTCCTCGAATGAAACTGATCAGAGATGTAAATAAGTGACATGAGTTCAGGGATCTTTGTAGTAATACTGTAAACAGAATGGTAGGCTTTAGATTAGTTTCCTACAGCTCATCAGCAGTTTCTCCAAAGCAGGGGTGGGGAATCTGCAGATGTTAGACTACAATTCCCATAATTCCTTGTTATCAGCCATGCTGTTTGAGGGTGATGGGAGTTGTAGTTCAGCAACATCTGGTTAGTGTCATATTTCCCAGTGCTGAACTAAAAGGACGAGTAAAACCAATGCATAGATTTAAATATAAAGCTAGCAGGTACAAACAACAGCTTATTTGTTCTGCTTCAGTTTGAGAAAACAAATTGTACTGTTTACATTTTAACAATCTAGTTTGAAAGAGATACACGTGTTTGCAGCGGCAACACCACTTTGAAAGAACAAATTGATACAGTAAAAATAATGTCCATGTAATCTGCTAAATGGATTTAATTCTGACACATTACTGATGAGATCACTGCTGTCTGACAAATCATTCACAGATTTCATTAAAATAAAGAGCAATGGGGAAAGCATGCACTAGTTGATTAATGAAAACACACACACACACACACAAATGATTGAGACAATTCAACAGCACTTCCCCACCACCACCACAAACAGAGAAAGTACTAACATTAAAAATTAACAAACAGTGTCTGGGTCTCCTATCAGTGATGCCAAGGGCATGCAGTTTCCCTATAATAAGCAATATTGTTACATTTTAAAACTAAACTCCAGCATTCAGTCTGCCATCAAAGCACTTTAACGCTCAATGCAACAATTCCCACTGTATAATCAAAACAGATGGCATTTTATGATATACATATTTAACATTTTGTAAGTATATGTAAAAGAATGGTCCAACATAATCCTAGAATAAGGTAAGACATCGTTTAGAAAAGATAAAGAAATAAGAACATTGATTATATTCACAATAACCAAAAGGGATTTAATGGCTTGATTCTAAAATACCAAAGAGATTTCCTATATATCATCATAATATGCATATTTATATAGCCACTATTTTGAACAAGAAAATATTCACATTTTAATGATGAAAAGCCATCTTCTTAGCATTCTAAGAGAGAGAGCCACTGTGGTTTACACACACACACACACTTAAAAATCTGACTATGCCACCAAAGTGCCCTTCCTTCAAGATATGTTCCCTGCCTTGAATGCAACACAAAGAAGCATTTCCCACATGGATTCGGGTTTACTGATCCCTCCAAATGCCAGAAATATGCAGTGAGGACGTAAACACTCGAAACAGGATGGTGACAGTCTCACTACTTGTTACAACCTGAGTGGGGATGGCTTGCCTTAGCAGAAGTTGCTTCCCACAGCAACCTCATGGCATTTCTAATATTTGTTCAAGTTCTGACTGAAAGACAGAAGGATAAAACCATAATGCTTGATTAGCCACCATCAAGTGACCTAGATCATGTGTCAGAGCTGGCTCCAGGTCCCAGCTCACAGAGGACCAACGCTAGCCGGCAGTAATGTACAAAAGTCTTTATTGAAGTACAGTTTCCATTTTCAAGCCGGAGCGCCCCAGCTCTACGTCTAGGGGTTAGATCGGCGAAGCTCCATCTGAGTCTCCGCCCCGTGTACACCATTTTAAGATTCAAGCATTACTCCACCTCTTACGTGTCTCATTTCTCATCTGGGTCCTGCTACCCCCCCCGGGGTCCCTTCCTTCCTGGATTCTTCTGACGCTGACCCTCCTGACTCCTCCCCCTCTTTTCGGCGGGCTTTGGGACCTGGCTCCCTATCCGGGCTGCCAACTGCGCCGCCCTCCTGTACATTTGAACGGGCGCGCGCGCCCAGCCTTCAACCTTCCTCTCGACCGTTTCCTCGCTCCCCGATGGAGGCGTGGCCAATCCTGACTCATGTCCTCCCACTGGCAGTGCGCCGCCTGATCCCGATGCCTGGGACTCCTCCCCCCCTACTGCACTCTGGTGTGGACGCTGGTCCTGATTTCCAACTGCTGCTCTCTGAGTCCCCTCTGGCCCCTTCTTCCTGGGGTGTCCCCTCGGCACCCCCTTGCTCTGACCAAGGGAGCCCCTTTCTGTGAATCTTCCGATTCGCTGGAAAGACTCAGAGACCTCGGACCGCTGTCATCGCTAACATTTCCTTCGGACTCCTCCCCCTCGCTCTCTATTTCCTCCCTTTCCTGTGCCTCTGCTCCTGAACCCCTGACATCATGCTTCTCCAGAATGGTGCTTCTCCTGTGCTGTTAATAGCTAGGTGCCTGGGCATCATTTGCCAGGTGTGCCTTTCCCCATCAGTGTATCACTGTAAATGATAGAGGGAAGGGCTGTAAGCTCAGTCACAGATCACCTGCTTTTCGTGCAGAAGCTCTCAGGTTCAAGGTAGGGCTGACCTCGCCTGAAACCCTGGAGAACTGCTGTCAGTCAATGCAGACAATGCTGAGCTAAATGAACAAATGGCCTGATATATAAGGCAACATAAGGGAACTTCCTATGTTCCTATAGGTAAAGGTAAAGGACCATTAGGTCCAGTCGTGGCCGACTCTGGGGTTGCGGCACTCGTTTCGCTTTATTGGCCAAGGGAGCCAGCATACAGCTTCCGGGTCATGTGGCCAGCAGGACTAAGCCGCTTCTGGCGAACCAGAGCAGCACACGGAAACGCCGTTTACCTTCCCGCCAGAGCGGTACCTATTTATCTACTTGCACTTTGACGTGCTTCTGAACTGCTAGGTTGGCAGGAGTAGGGACCGAGCAATGGTCCCTTTGTTGCGGGAATTCGAACCGCTGAGCTTCTGATCAGCAAGTCCTATGCTCTGTGGTTTAACCCACAGCGCCACTCGTGTCCCATACAATTCCTATACAATTTTCCCATACAATTCCTATACAATGTTCCTATACAATTTCAGATTTTATTTTTTGCATGTTTAAAAGAATGTTAAACATTTCAAAAATGAAATGGCAATCCTCTGGTTTCCACATTCACAAGACATGCCTGTGCAGGTGGCACTGTTAACCAGGGAGAAATAACATATGGAGTAGAGGAGCCGGGTCATATCACAGCCCACATTCTGGACTTTGACAAGTTGCCTTCGTTCTCTGTACAGAGCCGATGTATTATATTCTAAACAGCACAGTTCAAAATATTTCCTAGTTTATGTGACAGCTTAATGAAAATCCTGCCCTTCATTCTCTTGTCCTTGATCTATCTTAGACAGCTATTTCTCACTTTATTTTCCTTACTTTTTTTTTCGCCACTAGCTTTCCCACTCCCTACCTTCTACAAATGTCTCCCCAAACAACTGCCCAGTTAGGCTCTTGTCTCAGATTGGCAAATTTGTTACTATGGTAACTGGCTGGAGGTTCAAGACCCAGAAATCCACAACATGCATTTGCTTCACAAAAAGGACAGTAGGGGAATACAGGTTGCAAATGCATGCTTTGCAAACCAGGAAACCACTTATCCTGAGAAATGAGTCAGAAAAAAAGAAAAGATAATTCTGCAGCTGAAAAGGAAAACAGCAGCAAGGAGATCAGACCCAACAATCCAATGTTTCTTACACATTTGAATACGTGTCTTACAAGTTCCAAGTCCATTTTGTAAATGTGACATCAACTGCATTTCTCTGTGAAGGTGACCGTCCAACTCCTATGACAGAGAACCCTGGTTTGCATGGTATTCTTCTGTCTCTCTCACATTCTGGCATTTATTTATTTTAATTTTTTCTATCCCACCTGTTTCTCAAAAGAGACTCAAGGTGGCTAACAGAAAGTTATAAAACCAACAGAATCCCATAAAAAAACCCCCAATATACAGTCAGTAAAAGATTTAATAATATCCATCCTGTACAGCAAATTCCAGCAGTACAAAAGGAACATAAAACTGAACCAAAAAAATACACAAATATTTAGAAATCTAGGTCTTAAAAGTGAGAGCCGACACCTCCAAACTATCAACCACCAAAGCACCATCTATGAATTAAGTAAAGTTGATCTAGTGCTTACATGGAAGATAACTCTTGACAATTGCATTTTTTGAAAGAGTTGCAACTGGTGGGAGAGGTTGGGATAAAGTGGTATAATGTGTGTCATTTATCTTTCCACTTCATTTAAACTAAGTAGATTTAAGCTAGCTTTTATGTAGAGTTCTCTTTGTTCAAAAGCACATTTATGTACTCAAAGGGATGCATGTATGTTGTTTATTAAGTGACATGACACTAAGGACACTTTGGGGTGAATATGCTATCAAAAGCATCCTGGAGCAAGAATACTGGAAAGGTGTTGTTCAACATGTACACCACAGGGACAAAGGACTAGTATTTTTCCTTGCCATCGTGTTTGTGTCCTATGCATTAAATACTGAAAGTTCTTGTAAATTACATGAAAGGAGTAAACTATAATGTGTTAAATAGCAGGTTGCCGCTTCAATGACTGAATCAAGGAGGAAGGATTATGAATAGAAAAGCTTCTATTGAAACATAAGAGTCTTGGTAATCAGCAGTGATGAGTGCAACCACAGAAATAGAACACTGAATTTTAATGGAAATGTTATAAAACCCATGCATTTCTAAGATTGATTAGGAACAGCAAAAGTGCAAAAATCCCAAGAACTACTATTTTTTAATATATGTGGGCACTCAACAGTCCTGATAGTAACAGATTTGATACGGTTTGAACTATGCATAGAGCTCAGCTCCAGAGAGATTTTTGTCCTTAAAAAACAACAGCTTGAGAGATATGAACAAGTTAAACCTGCTTTTAATGGGCAATGCACTCTTAATGGACAACATATCCTTACATTACTGTCACTTAATGCACTTAGAAATGTTCTCTTTCCAGCCAGTATTATCCAATCAAGGCTGTGGTGCTTTGTTAGCTAACTAAACACTTGGGAACTCTATAGAGATCCAGGCAGCAGGATGCTAAGACAGCTATTAAACAGCTGTAAATAAGAGAGATAAACTTAACTTGGGAGTCAATTTTAGCTCATAAAACATCACACATTTTCATATAGCATTTATACTCAGGTATACCTAAAATCTACTACACTGCATGTGTAAGTAGCATGCATGTATGACATTGTTAAAAAGTCATAAACAGTTGATATTTACAAAAAAAAAAAAAAAAAAAAAAAAGGTTTTAGGAAGGCCTCTAGAGATAGCAATATCCAAATTGTATTGAATATGGAAGTTAATTTTTTGACACAGGAGAATATTTGGGCATTTTATTTATTTATTTATTTAACAACATTTATTACCACTTTCTAGAATTTACTCTAAATGGTTTATAATAAACAGTCTAAAACAGGCATTAAAAATACCAATAAGAAGTTAGAAAGGGGGGGGGGTAAAATAAAACCACTACAGTTGTACCTCAGCTCCCAAACACATTGGGAGTCAAACGTTCTGACTCCCAAATGATTGAAAACTGGAAGTGCGCGTTCCAGTTTTTGAACTTTTTTTAGAAGCCAAATGTCCGGCACGGCTTCCGCTATTGTTTCCGGTGCGCCTGCACAATTGGTAACCAATCGGAAGCCGCGCCTTGGTTTCTGAACATTTCGGAAGTCAAATGGACATCCGCAATGGATTCTGTTCGACTTCCAAGGTATGGCTGTAATTATAAAACAGTTACACTTACTAAAACCATGTCTCAAAATTACATGCTAAAATTACATGCTTGGGTATACTCGCTGGAATAAAAAGGTTTTTAGTGGGTGCTGGAAACAATACAGCAAAGACACCTGCCTGTATTACTGAAGAGATCAGCTGGATTTAGCATGAGTAGTTAATGTCAAACTTAAGCAATATGAAGATTACACTACAGATTCTTAAGTAAAGGTTTGGTGTCTAAAAACCATGTGTAAAGATGGTTAATTTGCACTCATTCTATTGCCATTCAGCTGTACAGCTTGTGAAACGAGAGAGACTTGACGGCAGCTAGTCTAAATCAATTTAGATACTAATAAAATTGCATTATGGTCCTTTTAAAATCAGCAGTGTCCACTTACAAGCATTCAGGCAGTAGCCTGCTCTCCAATATGTCCTCTTGGCAACTATACTTCTAATTCCATGCTCTGTACATTTTAATGCATTATTGTTTCAAAATACAATACTACAAATTGCAAATTACATCTGGCTCAAGGGCTGATTATGAGAAATACTAGCGCTACTGCCTCTGCCTGAATAACTCTGATAATAATAATAATAATAAGAGATTGATTGAGCTGCAAAGCAGCCATATGATGAGAAGGGTCCATTTGAACATTGCCATCAGCTTCTTTTGTTAAAAACAACACTTTGACATGTCACAGCCAACAAATCTTACTGCATTTGGTTACCATGGTTTTCTTACAATTTAAACTATGGGTACTTTCCCAGAAGGGGACAATATAGGAAATACAAATGAGACACAGGACATAACTTTTCAAGTTATGTGGATGTAAAAACAAAAACAATTTATTGGGGGGGATGCTGTCAAAAAGAGGAAGTGTTACTAAGGTGCAATCATATTTCAAAAGGAGGAAAAACACATAAAATAGTAATAATCTGTAACTTAAAACAATCATGCAATGACACAGTGGCATTTTTTTTCATAATATGTCATTAACTATGGATGGAAAAGAGAAACCACAATTAGAGATCCTAAGAAAGTGATCTGTGAACCAGGATCTTCTAGGTTCAAATCTCAGTTCTGGCAAAAACTACATATCTTGCTAGAAAGGTATGTAGTTTGCCTCTAAAATTAGTCTTCACACCTAAGAACTGGAAAGTAACTAATGTAACACCAATTTTTAAAAGGTGATCCAGAGAGCATTGGGATGTCTGTTCTGGAAAAACTGGTGGAAAACACTATTAAAAATAGAATAGAGCAGAGGCTGCCAACCTAACACCCACAGACACATTTTTCCTGGTACTGAGGAATGTTCCTTGTAATTAGACAACAACAGCACAGAGTGTGCATGTTATCTACATAATCAGGACCAGCAAGGCATAGCTGACATCCCATGATAAACATATGGAGTTGATGGATTTGGTTGTCTCAAATTTTGTGTTAGGCCATGCCTCCTCCAGGGCAACCATTTTGTGAGCGATGCCCCCAGCACTCTCTTGCCCACTAGTCCAAACAGGTTGGCACCTCTGATATAGAAGAACAAGTCTTGCTGAAACCAAACCAGCATGGCTAATTCAAAGGTAAGCCCTGTCTCACTAGCTTCTGAACATTCTTTGTCAATAAGCATACAGAGGGAGGTGATCCAGTCAACACTGTATATTTAAACTTTCAAAACTTTGGACAAATTACCTTTTGACAAAGGAACAGGAAGCAGAATGTAAAAATATGGGGAAAGCAATGTAGAATCACTCACAGTTTTGCAAAGCCTCATCAAGCTATGTATTTCCCTTATAAGTTGAGTTTTCTCTTTAGTTTTTGGGCACAGAAGAGATTTTACAAATGTAACAACAACAAAAAACAAACAAACCCACAAGTCACCATGTCCAGGAGAAACATCAAGGATATGGGTGGTGGATAAGAAATTATCTCATGGCAACTTAATGTGAATAATGGTCAGTGATAATCCATTCTTCTTTTTTTAATTACAATGATTCTACAGCAAAGTTTTAAACATGCACACAAAAGGTTAACCAAGCTCTTGACAGTTCACCTGGAACCTCCCAAACGTTAAAAGTTCCCTGCAGACCTCATTATCTGTAAAACATTTTTATACATCAGCATTTCCCTGTCAATTACTAGAAAAATCGTTGTTGATGTAGCTTTCCCAAGGAATATCCTCTGCTGAATAAATTAAGCAATATATATTACTTCAGACCTTGAAAACTGATTTGCACATTCAATTTCAATGTGTTAGGAACCCATTCCAGGGAGAACACAGAAAGGACACTGAAAATGTTCCTTGTCTCTCCAGCTTTTAAGGTCTTCCAACATAACAAGAAAGTAAGCAGATGGGAAATATATATTTCTAGAACCATAACAGCTGTGTGCGCTTCATGTCCTTCACAAATGTGTAACGGGAACTACAGTACCAAACGTTACATTCCACCAAATGGCTTGGAAGTAGGTCTAAATGATGCACTTCTTGATTAATTTGCACTTGATTAATTTGCAACTATCAACCAAAAGCCATTGCTTCGGATTTATCCAGAGCAATTGCCCAGGTATACAGAGCAGCTGTTACATATTCATCAACAAATAAGTGCTTACAGAGAAGAGTCAGCTGATCCCAAGCTTATGCAGAAGCAGGGAAAAGTTAATTTGGATTGGTTTTAGGCATTTGGAAATACTGAGGTAGGCTTAGATGGGAAAATGAATGAAAGAGAATACAGCACATCTGAAGGTGCCTTATACTGCATCAGACCACTGGTGCATATAGCTACGTATTTTCTGTGCTGACTGACGGTGCTTTTGCAGTCCAATAGTTTAGACAGATGCTTTTCCTAGCACAGCATAATGTGGCAAAATAAATATGTACATCCACTCCACTTATTGGAGGAGACACAAAAGTCATTTATTAAACTGTAACTGGTGAAGAAGCCTTGAAATCAGTGGGGAGAGGGTCTGTTAAATCTCTCCCATGCAAAACTTTGTAAAATTACTAGCCCTAAGTTGAGCCAAGTTTACCTTTTCTACTGATCTTCCTGGGGTGGAGGTAAAACAAGGAGAATGGGTGCCTTCTCTTTTCTACTTTTTTAAACAGCACCATTTCCCCATAAAGCTATTTTGTACCACTCATTATCAAAACTAGCCCATATGCTTTTCCTGATGTGGGATTGTCTCATTTTCATCAACATGTTTTCTTCTATGTGCAGCAGAATTTCCCTGCCCTCCCACCTAGTGTAAGTTGGCACTTAGGTTATAAAAGTTAACTGTGATTAAATGCTCATCATGGTATACTGAAATGTTACTGCATAGTAAAAGGTTTACTGCAGCTCTCAAAAAAATACTGACCTGAAAGCTATCAAAATGGTGACATTGATACATGTCTGTCGTCGCATATTCCCTTTGCTGCTAGTTCCTGCTGTTTATAGCAATACTTAAAAAGGGGTTTTGTACAGAAGAGTACATTCCATTCCAAAGAAATGGTGGTGCCCTTTCCAAAACTATTACTGTTTAACATATGTAGAACCCAAACGCAGAGATGGTCCTATGCTCAAAGTTTCTTGCACGTTTGTGCACATCCCACCCCCATACACTGCTCTGAGCAGGTGGAGAACCCTAGAGGCCTCTAATGCGGCTGGAGGAACTGTAATTAGAGAAGGAAAACTGGAGAATAGAAATCTACACAAACTAGTACTTTAGCGGTTCACAAGATTCTATGGATGTACAAATAGGGCCTGTAACAAAACATTGCAGTGTGGAGTACTTCTGTTCAGGGTTCCAAGGATCCACCATTCCATTCCTATTCCTCCCTGGTTTTCCAATTTCCACCCAACAGACTCTCCACATTCTGTAACCACTGAGCATGCTTCCCCCCATCCCTCCTTACAGATTTTTCCCTAATGATATATTGTACCTGTTCAGTTTCTCAAACATTTCTCTTGTGCCTGGATGGTGCCATTCTTTACTACAGATTTGTATCTTTAATTGCAATTTCAACAACCACAGTGGGCATCTTGTATACGAATGATTATCAGACCAGAATTTTGAAATGCATTCACTAGGCTACAGCCAAAGTACACTTTTGTGCCTAGGAAACACCACACCTCAATTCCCAAGGCTTTAGTACAACATTTTATAGCAATAAGGCTTTTAAACTATGTGTTTCTGGTTAACAGAACTCAATTGTGTTTATGACCAAAGGCTAATATGCAATGGCTATTTCCTTTGTAAGCAACTCTTTGCTCCTAGACCAATGATTAGCAAAACGGTATCCGTTCAAGACATGTTAGCATTCCAACACAATGGGAATCCAAGACTATTGCTTATATAGGCTGAAATGAAATATTAAAGTTAAAGCTGTATCCCCAAACATAAGGTCATCACTCAAGCATGTGTCAATCTGAAGCACTCAAGCTTTAATTTATTTATGGTATGATCAATGTGTACACCCACCCACAGATATATGTCTCCTCCTGAAATCATAAATATGGCATTGCAAACATTAATTTCAACAAGGCTATTTCCAGAAGGCTTAAGAGTTAATAAAACAAAGCAAAACCCTACAAAAACAGCTCTGAAAGATTATGCTAACTATTGCAGAAATCCAGCAACTATCAGTATAGCAAATTAAATCTCAAAAGAAATGTTTCCAACATACACTGGGAGGAATGTCATTAACATATTCTTTCATCTAGCAGATTCCTCAACCCTCAAGAAGATATTTATTTACCATACTTCGCTATGGGCTGAATAGTCACCAGCCTTCAATTTTCACATCAGTTGCAGATGAGATGTGGGGGGGGCACACACCTTGTACGCAGGCTTGAATTGAAATTGACTTTGAATCTCTGAACTGTCAACAAATTCTCCTACGAAAAGGTTTGCTTTACAGAGATTATAAAGTAGGTGTCACGCCTGACACTTGCATTTTATATTCAGATGGCAGGTCTGTAAAGAAACGTTACCAAAACGTCAGGAAGGGACTTAGAAGGCTCAGCTGTCACGCTATGTGCCTCTCTGGGCTTGCTTTGCAGTCAGATACTGTGCTGTCGATGTCAGAGGTTCTCCACTTAAACTCCCTGACAAGCAAAGAAGAATACTGGGAGAATATGTTATCAGGAGCTGTGGACTTGTCTTCAGTAGCAGGTCAACCTGACACTTATTTTGGTGCATGAAAACCAAAACTATGATCCTGTTTCAGATTAAAAAACTGTACACTATACCCCGCTGGATATACAAGTTCAAGTTTTTAAATTGTGAAATAATCCTTGCAGAGGACCCTCTATGCTTTCAATGCATTGAAGCCTAATGTGCTGAGGGTGCCCGTCTCCTGCCTAAGTCTAAAACGAAAAAAGGGAGAAGTGCGTGTGTGTGTGTGTGTGTACACACACTAGCAGAAAAACACAAATGTAAACTCGACAGCAGCATGAACCAAAAGGGTGATTAAAAGCACCAAGCTGCTTCTCTTTGTTTAAGAAACCATTCCAATTAAGGGACATAAATCAAATTTGCAATCAAGGAAAAATTATAAAGTTAATGAAACATCTGAAATGTAGCTGCTGGAATTGTGGGTTGATTAGCGTCTAAAACAGTGGAAATTGTAAATTTATATTGATTTCCACCCTTAAAAAGAAGAAAACACCTGCTTTTTCAGTAGCGTTTGAACTATCCCCAGACATAATAAGCCACAGTAAATGAAAATCATGGCGCAGACAATAAAACCTGCAAGCTACGCAATGGGAAAGTATAGTCTGTGCATGTTGTTTCCCCAAATGCCCAGTCAGAGGTCTCAGGTGGCTAATGCGGCTGGAATGTGTAATTCAAAGCTCCAAATAATATGTTTATGAATCTGGACGTGTTCTGTGCACTTTGGAAGTGGCTGTACAAGAAGAGACAACAGTATATCTGATTTCAGCTAAACAAGGTTTTAAACTAAATTATCCATTTCCTCTTGAAGGACTGGATGGAGCAACACTGCAAGGCTCCCAGTAATCATTTCAAATGTAATTGTAGGATTCAATTTAATGGTAATATGGGAATATTTCATTTGCATTGGTTCCCAATAGAATGGCTTGCCCATCTGTAATCTACAATACTGAAAGCAAGACACTGCACAGCCAATGTTTTAAACACCATATTTTGATATATAGACCCCACACTCTGCAAACCCCCTCTGAATCATACTTACTTCTTTAACAAGAACAGCAGTGTGGAATATCATATACAGCTTGATTTCTAAAGATAGGTGTTTGCAGGTTTAGGGTTTGTAAAGGAAATAGTTTCCTGGTTTCACATGTTAAGACATTGTATCTCATTTTCTAATATATACAGGCTGTGATTATTGAGTAGAATTTTCAGATACATTTGAGTTAGGATAACTGAACTCTTTCCTCAGTTGAAACAGTGGTCTCAGGGTCACCATTCCAGAAGATTCAGGATATTTTACTTATTTATTATCACATTTATATCCCACCTTTCCTCCAAAGAGCTCAAGGTGGTTTGCATAGTTAACCCCACTTCATTTTATCCTTATAAACAACTCTGTGAGACAGGATAGGCTGAAAGACTGTGACTGGCCCAAGGTCACCCAGTGAGCTTCATGACTGAGTGGGGTGAATCAACCTGTTCTCCAAAGTCCTAGTCCTATACCACACTGGCTCATACACAAAAGGAAGTACTTCTTCACACTAAGAAATTCACCACTACAAGGTGTAGTGATGGCCACCAACTTCAACAGCTTTAAAGGAGGATTGGAAAAGTGGCTATCACTGGCCACTAGCCACAATGACTATCAGCTACCTCCATGGTTGGAGGCTAAATATGAGCTGCTGGGATCCACAGTTAGGGTGAGTGCTGTTGCATGCATATCCTGCTTGCAAGCTTCCCATGGGTAACTGCTTGGCCAATGTGAGAACACAATGCTGAACTAGATGAACCTTTGGTGTGATCCAGCAGGGCTTTATGTTCTCAAGAAATATTGCAAAAAAAAAACCCCACCACTAATCTAGTTCAATATGCTCATGATTAATTTCCCCTTATACTTGATTTTCATATATCCTGTATAAACTGCCATGTAAACATGCACTTTTTGCACGTTTTGTTTACTTAAGGAACATGCTTGCCACAACTAGTCAAATCTTACTGATTTTTATTTTATTTTTAATCTAGCTTTTAAAATCTCACTGACTTTGTGCTTTGGATGTGTTGTTATTTGTATTTTAATTATTTTTGTATTATCTGCTCTGGGAATTTTTCACCAAAGGGCAGTATACGCATCATAAATAAATGAACAGCTTCTTTGAACTTAAAAATAGCTTTCTGTTTTAACTTGTACTCTTCTGATGCTAATAATTCAAGGATTTCAAGGATACTAAAGCACACAGAGACCCTTGGGGTTTGGCAATGTGGTGAAGAACTTAGTGTTGGTCACAAGGGAAGCACCATTCCCCGCTCCCCTAAATTCTTTGAAGCCGCACCTGGAAATCCCCACCTAGGAAGGAGCATTGGTTGTGGCCCTGAGGCACTACAAACACAAAACCACAACAATGTATTATTCAAAAGTAATAACATCATACTATGACCCTAATCTAGATCACAAGGACTCCTGATTTAGTGTCTGTTTTCAGAACAAAATGCACTTGGCACATGGGGTGGGGGGAGACCCCTTAAGTCTCAAGTTAACAGGAAACCTCTTTAGACAGAAAGCTGAATCTATTTATTCCTGTAACAGTTCTCCTAATCTCTTCACAGTTTTTTCTACCTGACTTCTCACCCTCTTACTTCCCCTCATTTGGTTTCCCCTATTCCTTACAGAAACTGCTGGTCACTGTATCTCTAAAAATACAATACTACATCCAGTGTAGAAAGCCCACCAGATGGGCTGGTGGGGACTACCTAAATAGTATAGAAATTTATTTATGTATGCAACCAAAGCTGCAAGAATGTTATTTGCCCAAAATAATGGAAGGAAGAAGAGGTCCCGACAAGAGAAGAATGGATACAGAAGTTAATGGACTTCTGTAATGGCTCCATTTCTCCTCCCGCTTCGCTGAAGGAACGCTTCGCCGCTTTCCCTCTCTGCACTGCTCTCCCTCTCTGCACAGCGCCCCTTCAGTGAAGTGGCAGGAGAAACGGAGCCCCTTCCATTTCTCCTCCCGCTTTGCTGAAGGGGCGCTGCTCAGCTCTCTCTCTCTGCACAGTGCCTCTCCAGCAAAGCGGGAGGAGAAATGGAAGGGGCTCTGTTTCTCCTGCCGCTTTGCTGAAGGGGCGCTGCACAGAGAGAAAAAGCTGTGCAGCGGCTCTCCAGCGAAGTGAAGCCAGGAGAGCAAGAGGGATTGGTTCAGCAAAAGCAACGCAAAGCCTCCTGAGCACAGTGGGAGCGCTCTGGGTCCAAAAAGGGTGCCCTGCTTTTAGTGTCACGCTACTTCTGTACCAGCCATTAGAAAAACATGAGCAGACAAGCAGTTAAAAAATGAAAAACAAAAAATGTCAAATTCAGTCTTCCAGACATCCGTAGCTGTAAAACAGCAAGGAGGAGAGGGGAGGAGAAAGCAACACAAACTAAGGAGAGAGAAAGGGAAAAAAGCACAGCTTTGAACATCAGGCCAGAGAAACAGATTTTTCAATATTTTATGTGACATGATACAACATCAGCTAAGGACAAGGAAACACAGGCTTTGCTTACATGGCAGCTGACAGTAACTAAAAAAGGAAGGGAAACAGCTTGCACTTTATTGGTTCATGGGGTCCGTGCTGCTTTTACATCTAACTGCTTATTCCTTGAGAAGAAAATCTGATATTTACAAAGCAATGAGTCATCCCATACCAGAGAGTTGTTCCCAGAATATGTATCCTGGCCTTTGTGTCTTGCTGTCTTATGCCTAGGGATGCCCTGGCAGGGCCTAATCCCCTAATACTTAAAAAAATGTATCTGAGAGACAGGCAAGAGTTGGATCCAAACTATCACAGGGTGCACAAATCTACCCAAATAAATGTCACAAATTCCCAGTTAATATATGGAAAATAATTGCATTGGTTGCTGCTCTTAAGAAACAAGGTTATAACCCAATAATAAACCCACAACTTTTAAAAAATGATAACATTTGTTTGCCATATATTATCTTACAGTTTATTATATTTAATTGGGTAGATTTGTGCCCACCTTAAGTTATGAATGTCTGTTGTCTTCCTTTTTAAAAAAGGTGACTCTCTCATGGATACAGTGGTAAAGGTAAAGGTAAAGGTAAAGGTAAAGGGACCCCTGACCACTAGGTCCAGTCGTGACCGACTCTGGGGTTGTGGCGCTCATGTTCTTAACCTGAGGTACCACTTTAGCTAATGGGGACTTTCGCCACCGCCGTGCAATTTCTGTTCTCATCCTGAAGCAAAGTTCTTAACCCGAGGTACTATACTGGGCCAAGTGCCCCTGTTTGTCATTCTTGTTCTTCTTGTTCCTGATGTTCCGATAAATCCCTTTTGAGCTGAATCTCAGTCTTGGATCATGCCTGAACCCACCTACACTTCAACGTACATGACACTTCTCTTCAGATTATCCTCACAACGATCATGGTTATCCTCACAACACACTGGCAATAGGACTACAACCTCCACCACACTTGTATGCAGTAGGGTATCTTTGAAGGCAGCACACACAGTTCTATTCCAATAGCTCTCTGGCACTTCCTGTCCTCCATCTCACACCCGACCTGCTGCCTGAGGCAAGTACCTCACTGCCGGTATGGCCCTGCATCAGGGTGAGGCTGAAAGTACAGCACAGCTGCTGTGTGAAATGGCATTGCCCTGCACACAAATAACATATACAAAGAGGTAAGAGATGAAGGAAAGCTTATTTCTATTGCAGCAAAGTCTCGCTACATTGTGCATGCCCATCTATCTTCTCAAGGCATGCTGGACAGCCTTTACTGTGGAGCACACTCAAGAGCCTCCCTGGATACCTCTGGCCAATGTTTTATATATTTTCTTGGGGATAGGCTCAGTGAGAAAATATTCAGTAAGACAATTTAAATAACAATTAGAAACACACAGAGAGAAACGACTACAACTGATAAAAAACCAATTAAAAAGTGGTGGATCAGTGATTAAGAACTCAAATCAGGGAAGTGGAAATCCTATATTAAAAAAAAGAGTGGAAGACTAATAGAGAGGGGGCGAAAAAGGTCTCCCAATCAAGGGAATACAACAATTTCGGTGATTATGTTATTTTATGTACATTTGTGTTTTGGTCATCCTCCACGGAATTAGGGCAGAGTAGGACATCTTTACAACTCTGTGGGCTAAGCTGAGAGATACTAATTTGCCACAGACCACCCTATGAGCTACATAGTTGAACCAAGAATTTTAACCTTGTTTATATAGGTTTCCTGGCTCCATGTCTTATCTAATTAAAACATTTCTTGCCAAAGCAATCCCAGAGTGCATTACATTAAAATCAAATACATAATACACATTAAAACAAAACAGAAAGGGGGGGAAATGCAACTTTAAAAATAAAACAGCTATGCTGCAATCCTTGCATAAAAACCTTGTTGAATAACTAGGTCTGCAACTGGCACAAAAAAACTCATAAGAGTTAGCCTCAGCTGTATCTGAGAACGTAAGGAATAAACAAGGTGCCAGTACCAAGAAGGTTGTCTTGTTTGTTGCCACTTGGTGAATTTCACTTAACTGTGGCAATAAGAGGGTCTTCCTCATAAAAAAGATGCTTTGTTAGATATCTAGGTCCCAATCTATATAGGGCTTTATACTGTATGTCAATGCAAGCTCCCTGAGTATGTTCACAATCAGCAGTCCCAAATGACAGCCTAGCCATGGAATTCTACATTAGCTGCAGCTTCTGAACAAATCTCAAAGGTTACCCAGTCACTGTGGCCAGGTAATGCCTGTCTAGGAACATCCATAACTACCTTACTAGTCAACCCCAGTCACTTGCACCTTCAATGACAGTGATGGATCTAAGAGCACCACCAGACTATGTACCCATTCTTTCAGAGGGAATGCAAGCCCATCCAGAACTAGAAGAATGCCTAATTCCTGAACCCTAGATTTGTCAGTCCATAGAGCCCCACCTTGTCAGGATTTAGTCTCAACTTATTGGCGCTTACTCAGCACACAACTACATTTTGTTATGAAAACCTTCTGGAAGCCCATGGGAAAGCACAACTTCGAAGGATCTAGGGAAGTCACTTTATAGCTTTATGGCTAACAAATTCTCCCTCGGGGAAGCTGGGAGATGAGAGACATATTTTGAGAACAGAAAGCATACAATACTCCCTCAAAGCAAAAATTGTACTAGTAGATGCACTACGGAGCGGGTCAGAGTTTGAAACGAGGGGGAAAGTGTATGATGTAATGTTTGAAGATGTGCTGCCCCGCTGCTTGTCCCATTGCCTTATACCGTAGAAAAACATGGCTGGAAAACACAACAGACATGTACAAAAACAGACAAAGTGTTCCTCTCATTAAGAAATCGGTACTATACTGTGACTCCTCAATGGCTTCCCAATAGCCTTTGTCTGTTTTTGTACTATATTTCAAGGAGTTTGAAACAAGGAGTTTGTTCTTAGTCATCACTTCTAGGTGACATAACTGAGTGTAACATAGCTGAGTTACTCTACATTGTTAATGCTCAATGAATCCTGTTTGCAAAGCAGTGTGTGTTCCATCTCAAGGCTAAGTGAGACCAGCCCCTCTTCCCTTGTGCCTTAAGCTATGGAAGAAGTTGCTGCTGGGACTGTGCTGGTGCAGAACCCCCTTCCTAGAGGGATTATGTCAGCTGGTACTGGGCTGCAGCTTATCAGCCATTTTGGATAAATTGTTTTTGAATTGTTATGGTTTTGGTATTAAACTGCATCATTTTTTATTGGATTGCTTTTTTTCCCCCTCACTAATACGCTATGTGCTTTTTGATAGGATTATATTGATGAAAGTGTTTTTGTTTGCTAATGTGTTCTTATTGTTGTCATCAGCTTTGAAATCAACATTGATGCTGGAAAAGAGACATATAGATAATGAATCAAGTCAAATCCACACTTACTGGAGCATAGCAATTGCTTGAAAATAAAAGCCTTACAGGGCAAGGTAATTATGTGTACCAGCTCTTCACTTAGATTGGGAAATGTTCTCTATTCCAAATCAAAACCAGAAAGGTTGTATTGGCAAGAGTGAAAACTGGGGAAACCATGGAGGATCTCCAGGGTTCAACATGAATTTCTCTAAACACCTACATTTCAAGAAGCCTTTGTTGCTGTGAATTGGGTTTTAGTAGAGTGTCAATAATGAATCACCATACATGCAAGAAACATCAAGGGCTAACTGAGTATTGTTTTGTTTTGTACAAATGTTGATCCTTGTGCAGATGCAACATAGATGTCACTTGTTTTATTCCACCTCATAAGCAGCTTCACTAAAACATGACATAAACCTGTGTCAATCTTGGTGCAATAGAATCCACACTGATAGAATTATAGTCATGTTACAGATGATGACAGAGTCAAGGAGCATTAAATGGTCCCTTTAAAACATGCTTAAATTGCTGGCATTTTGAAAATGGACATTGCCATGAAAATCATAGGTCCAAACTCTAGTCACATATACAAATCCTACCTGAACATGTCCCCCAGGCCTTTGAGCATTCCTTTCTTGGCTTTAATTTTATCCTTTTCTTTATCTCGATCTTTCTTCTTGTCCTTCCCAATTTTTTTCCGGTCTCCTTTATCTTGACTGCCATTCATGTGTCTTTCCAGCGAATGGGATGGCTGGTCACTCGACGTAGAGACAGATTCTCTACCCGATCGTGAGCTTTCCTCAGTATCTTCCTCCACTGAAAGAGTAAGGTAATTTTAGTAGGGGCTGGGGGGCGGGGAGAGATTAAAAAAAAATTCTCTGCTGTGATTCAAGACAAATAGAGTTGAACAACCCTTATCCGTTCATCCAGAATGAACAGCCACTACACTCCAGTAAACCACCCAGGTGGTAAACTGCATGACTTTCTCTGCTTGTATCCGGAAAGCTCCACACATGGGGTCCATGAAACTGCACATATTTTACTGTACAAGGTGAGGTTTTTGGTTTAACTTGCTTGCTCAATATTCTGATCGCTTAATAAGCCAAGAAATGAATGAGTCTTTTGGATAAATACACATAGCTCATTTGATCCTCCCTTGGCCCAAGCAGGCAAGCAAGCAAACAAACTAGAGAGTCATAAACCTGTGTCAATCTTGGTGCTATTTCATGCTAACCATGAAAATATGCTTAACTGCTTCACAGCAAGCCAGGATATTAAACCATGGTTTGAAGCTGACTTAATATCCTGGCTTGTTCCAAAGCTGTTAATCATAGTAAACAAAGTGCAATGGAATACCTTGGTTTGCTTGCTCCCTCAGGCAAAGGGGCTGGGCTTTATGTCCAAAAGACCAATTCATATCTAATATTATTAAGACAAGATATGCTAATCTGAGCGTGGTCTATATCTTTATTGACAGTTGAGTTTACAATGTTATCCACTATGTACATTTACAACATAATTCTCCATTATAACCTTGAATATTGGCTCATTCTTCACACCCATTTTCAGGAGAAAACGAAGGATGCAAAATTTTTCTTAATGCAACATACACCTTGAAGACTGAGATATTGAAATGAAAGATAAGCATGTTCATATTCAAGGCACAATCCTACATTTCAAGTTCAAACACCAACTCAGTCCCACACTGGCTTTCATTTAGGCTGGTGAATAAGTAAAACATACCGTAATACTATATCACCCTTGGGCACTGAGGTATCACAGTGATTTTCAAAGATAGAGCAAGGCTGAGAAAAAGATTCAATATGCAATATCTGAAGTGAGGGCTCAAGGACATTGTGCTTTAAGGCAATGTTAAAAATACAAATTAATTAAAACTAATTTATAATACTTGACATTCAACAAGGATAATGATAATAATAATAATGCTGTTTAATTGCTTATTGAAGTATTTATATGCACATTTCCCTTCCCATTAAAAACAATCAATCACACCTCGTGCAATTCACATTATTTATATACTGAATATTCAAAACTTGTGATCATCATCAGTTACCTCAGCTTTGCCAATACATTAGCGAAAAATTGCAAACATGTTCTAAGATAGTATGCCTCTGAATATCACTTGCTTTGGGGGCAACCAACAAGGAGTGCTGTTGCCCTCATATTTTACTTGTCTGCCTTTTATTGTATTGCATCACATTGCTTTTAGGGATGTATACCTCATACTCCAATAACATTTTCCAGTAGCTTTCCAGAGCATCTTGTTGGTTACTATGGGAAATAAGATGATGGACTAAGATGGACCTTCAACCTACTCCAGCAGGACTTTTCTTATCTCATCCACTGAGGGTCATACACTCATTCAGTATGTTTGGACTTCCCTGCTGCTTAGCAATTCATTTCGTACAATCTCTAATACAACTTCATTTCTACAATTCCCATGCAACAACAGAACTTTATTTTAGGCAACTGCCAGCCTATTATCAACTGCTTTCACAGAGCCCAGCTCAGGGATCAAAGGACTCAGGGCTTCCTTCTCACACTGCCCTTCCCAAACCACTTTGCGAGGTTGGGGTCTGCCAGCAACTGAAATAATTTATTTTCAAACAAGCTTTTGATTCAACCACTGCTTAATGTATTGATTGGAAGGGATGTTGCTGCTGTTTTCAGTGTGATTGTTTAAGTTTTAAGGTTGGAGTCACTGATGGTTTTATGTTTTCTTTTGTATCTGTAAGTTGATTTGACCAACGCCTTTGTGGAAGAGAAAAGCAAGGTATGCATTCCTGAAGAAATAAAATGTTGCCTCATTATTATTCCTATTCAGGCAAGAAATTCAAGTTCCAATTTTTGTGATAGTTCATAGTTCACTGATGACATTACTAAAAAGCACTGGGTAAGGGGGAAGAGTTAATGAAAAAGTGCAGACGACAATCCCCCTTTCCTATTTTAGCCACTAAGACCAAAATATCAGATTGTTCTTTAGGGTATGATTCCAAGAGCAAAGACATGTTTTACTTAAGAGAACTGCAAGAAAAGTATTGTGAAACTGCTCTCCTAATTATGTCACAAAACAGAGAAAATGCTCATAAGAAACTGTAGTTATTGAACGTGAAGCTGTTCCATAACTGAGCTAGACTGTGTATTGTGTTATTTAATACAAGCAGAGTCTCTAGCAATTAAGACTCAACAGAGATTAGAAAACTCTGCCAATTTATTCAGATTCAAATGGCTTGCTCTCAGACAACGCACCAGAGAAAGGAACTGTTTCTTATCAGCTATTCCAAGATTTCGAAAACAAGCACTGTGATTCATATGATCCAAATACCCCAAGCAGTCAGCTGTGACTATCTGATTATACCCATTAAATTCTATAGGTACCCTCTGCCAAACTTAAGGTCTTCCCATCTGTCTTTCAGGCTCAGTTCAACGGTCTGAATGGCCAATTGTTCTGAGTGCAACAATTATATTATGGTTTTTAAAAAGCCCCCACAGTAAATGTGGTCACATGGTGTGCACGTATATTTTTAGAACTCATTGCAGGACACTGATCAAGATTTCTTTATGAAACAATTCAGAGCAACTTATCTGAATAGCTCAGTCAGTACAGCATGAGAATCTTAATCTCAGGGTTGTGGGTTCAGGACCCGTGTTGGGTGAAAGATTCCTGCATTGCAGGGGGTTGGACTAGATGACCCTTGTGGTCCCTTTCCAACTCTACAATTCTCTGATTCTATTATCCTCAAGTACAAAAGGGTCACCAGCTGACCAAATGAAAGATTACTGCTTACAAAGGCAAAGCATTTTCTACTAGAATTTTACATTGCTTTTACAATGAGAGAAAGGAGCCTTCTAAATTATGAACTGTTGTGGGAGGAGAGAAATAGCTGCAAGGGGGATTTGAACACAACCCACCTCCATAGGGTTTAACTGAACACTAATTCCCCTCCCCACCTGTATAGTGTATAGTGGCATGTATAGTGCCACTTTAACACACTAGATCCCTACCTAATATGGAACGTCTGCATCCATATCAAATAGTGGTACATCCAGTACACCTGCCAGATCATTCTATAGTTCTCTCTCTCTCTCTCCTTATCCTTATCCTTCTCCCTCTCTCAAAAATACATGGTGCTATCCTGAATGTTTCAATATTCAGGGCAGATAAAAGAAAGCACTTTTTCACACAGCACATAGTTGAACAGTGGAATTCATCCCCCACAATATTTAGGGATGTCCAACAAGTTGGACAGCCTTAAAGGAGGATTAGAAAAATGCTTGGAGGGGAAGGCAATCCATGGATACCAGCCACAATGACTATATTCTGCCTCCAGTTTGCATCTGAAGAACAGTTGCTGGGAATCACGTGAGAAGAATGTTGATGCACTCAGGACCAGTTTGCGGGCTGCTTATGGGCGCTGCTTGACCCACTGTGAGAAAAGCTTAAACATGGAGCACTTGTGATCCACCCATTTGTGTTCCACTTCCTATGGCTGAAATCCAACTGTTCCCACAGTCTCATAAGAAGGGCTTTTAACCCTCTTTTTGAAAAGGTGGGGAGGGGTTTTTTGCTTTCCTTCTTGCAGACCTGAGCACACACACCAACAGCTCTAGGTTGTTGGGGAACCCTGCAGAACAAATCAAAAGGTACCACAGGGGGCTGCCAAGGGAATCAGAAAAAAACCCTTCCCCTCACTTCTGTTATGGGGTACCTCCACTGGATTCCACCCTGTGTCACTGGGTCAATTAGACAAGACTGATAGTATTTAGCTGCTCTGAACTGCCAGATTTGAAATGAAGCTGAATTAATTCTGCTGCTACTATTGAAGGAAATATTTCAAATGTCCTTACATTCAATTATGTGATATTTTTAGAAGCAGGCTTTTTAAAAAAGAAAAACTAATATAAAATAGAACAGTGAACTTGTAGGAGCAAATTTGCTCATTATGACAGGCGTTTCTTAAAATGTAAACACATTCATAAAAAGCTGAGATTGCAGATTCATTTTTCCAACTCCTTGTGTCAGTCGACAAGCCAAGTAATTAATTACCTCAGCTTCCCCAGCTCTTTTCCATTCATAAAATTTTAATGTTTAAAGGTAAAGTAACTAGATAGGTGGGGGGGACCTGCTGGGATACATTCAAAATACTACAACATTAAGGTTAAAAATTTAATAATTAAGTTCATTTGCTATTCACTCTTTTTTTGAGCACGGACTGTCATTTTACTAGCCCATTGCTGCACCATTCAATAATTATACAGGTTATGTTTGAAGAGATTCTTTTATGTTAATGACATTCTTCTCATGTTGGGTCACTCTTAGGGTTAAAGAACTGAAAATGTAAATGAACGCCCATTAGGGTGGGTAATAGCTGATCATTAACTTTATGCTTTATTAGATCTGCCAACCTTACATATTCTAATTAAAGAACAGCCGTAATTTTTCTTCACTTTATGGATGAACTTCCAATGCTGAAATTTTTCAACCTAAATGCAACTTATTTCCTCTCTCTCTCTCTCTCTCTCTCATTAAACTTTAGAACCAAAGTGTTTGCCCCTTCCCTTTTAACTCATTGTCTTGCTGTTAAGACGGTACACAAGGAATCTTGGTTTTTTTTATTTAAAAAATGCTTTGGGTGTCTGCATCTAATCTCGCCACTTTTTAAAATTCATTCATTGCTGTGTGTGTTTCTTTTTGTAAATCTACCAAAGAATAAAATAAAATAAAATCAGGATTAAGACTTTTTTCAGGACAGAGGAGGGAATGTGTGCTGGGTCCCATTGGTGAAGTGGTGGTGCTCTTGCCCTTTTAGTGGTAGAAATGCTTTGCGGATGGGAGATAAAAAATGGGGGGCTGAGGAGGGTCAGTTGTGGGGAGTGGGAAATGTCTCTATTTTCATCTGAGGAATGTTGGAGGGTATAATATTGGCTACATAAACACACATTTTTCTACTGAGGTCCAAGTACATTAAAATTTTGAAAAATGAGTATTTTAGAGCTTGCAAACAAACAAACCAAATCACAAAATCCATAGCATGTTAGAGTGTGATGCAAGCCTGCAGAGATGTCATTATTACGCTAACACTGTCAAGCATTAATGTTCTCTTTACCCAAAGGTAGACAGAGATGCTCCTGCAAATGCTGCAGTCCTTATGTAAACGTTTCCACTCATATTGTTCCTCCATATACCCCGCCTGGCCCTTTGGGCGATGCTCTTCTTTCATTATATGGTATTTACATGGATCCAAACGGACAGAAGCGACCATTTCAATTGAGGCAAAGGTAATGGGAGTGTGTCAAGAATGTGCTACAGACCATACGGAACACAGAAGAGATGGTGCTCTATCCGAGAGAGATTGCACATGACATAAAAGCCAGGATATGGAGCAGCAGGGATGGGGGTTGGGGAGAGAGACCAAGACATCAGAGTGGACCAAGTAAAAGAAGGTCGAAGTTGTTGCTGAACATAGGCTTTACAAAGGGTGGAAGAATTTGGAAGGAAGAAGAAGAAGAAGAGTTTGGATTTGATATCCCGCTTTATCACTACCCGAAGGAGTCTCAAAGCGGCTAACATTCTCCTTTCCCTTCCTCCCCCACAACAAACACTCTGTGAGGTGAGTGGGGCTGAGAGACTTCAAAGAAGTGTGACTAGCCCAAGGTCACCCAGCAGCTGCATGTGGAGGAGCGGAGACGCAAACCCGGTTCCCCAGATTACGAGTCTACCGCTCTTAACCACTACACCACACTGGCTCTGAGTCAGTGTGAGTCAGGCAGAAGAAAACAGAGACAGAGAGAAAGGCTTTTTCAAGCACATGGGGACACGGTTGGGAGAGAAAGAGAAATGAAAGCAAGAAATCTTGAGATGAGTAGGTGTTGGCTAGAGGAGGAAGGATGTTGGCTGAATTATCTATTATACACTGTGAACAGGAACTCACTTGAAGGCTTCCAATGTGAATTAACTTTGTGGCTACACCGCTTTTAAGTGAACTGTGGAAATTTTGCACAAAGAAGACAGAGTCAGAGCAGGTGGGAGCTTTAAGGTGGTGAACAAAAATCTTGGTGGAGTAAAGAGAACTTAACAGGAAGCTACCTTAACAAAAGACATGGTGTGATCAAAGGGGCAGGCAGGGTGAAGAGGGGGGAATTAACTGAAAGAACCATCAGTAGTGAAAACATCTTTAAAAGGCAATTTTTAAAAGCAGTGTACATGGAAGAGTTTACTTACAGGTTTCCATGCCTTCATCATCCTCATCTGCAACAGGTTTATCATACGATTTGTCAATTGCAGCTCTGAAGCTCTCATTGCACCCTCGCCCTCTGATTATCCGCGGCCGTGGACGGTGGAAGGGAATGTCACCATTCAAAGTTACCTCAGCGACTGCTGTCTGCAAACTTTCTAATGAACTGGATTTCTTCAGGCCTAATGAAGGGCCTACATCTCTGGTTGGAGAACCTTAATATTTTTTAAAAAAGAAAAAAATAATTAGGATTAGCAGGGAGGACCCTCACACTTGATTATTCACATCTACTGCGACAGTCTACGGGAATGTGCTTAACATTATTCACATTATCTCTATACTCTGCAGGGAATTCTAGGCAGATTTGTTGGTTGGAGCAATGAGCGTGTCAAGTCATACACTATGAATTTGACAAGGTTAGTAACATCCCACTTTTCAAATTGGTGGGAAGTTAAAGTCATCACTGTTATTTCAACCATTTTAATGAGAATAAAATAATTACCAAGCTGGTTAAAAAATAGAGTACAAAGATGTCAGCACTATGTACTTGATTGGCATAGCCAGTTAATTTTGTTTTTTTAAAACAGCAAAAACAATTCTATGCAAATACTGGAAATAATGAACATTAAGGAGATTTTATTGACCTAAAATTAGCCTGCATTCTCAGAACAGTATCTGGGGAAAATTCTGCCTCACTAGCTTCTTTCATGGAGTGAATTTTAATAACCTGCACTTAAATATTACACTGTTCCCAAGAGCTTGTCTACATAGATTTTTTTTTTCTTTTGGATTAATTAACCCATATTAGTTAATATGGTTATAATACATTAAAACACATGTCAACACTTATTATGGACTAAATGCAAGTAATGTAAATTTTTTAACCTTGATTAGGAACAGGGATTACCCCAGCATGATAAAAGCACTAATAATCTCCAACAAACACTCGCAAAGAGAATATTAGCTCACAACAACATTAGTAAACTAAAAGAAAAAAATCTCTATTCATTGGAAAAATAAACAAAATATTTTTTGAATAGCATGTGTATGAATCATTTCCGTGAACTTCATGGACAAACTACTGCACTGAAAACTTAAGGGACTGGTCCAATAAAATGTAACTTTTGAAATGCTATTCTAATTGAATTTTTCTCCTGGGTTTATTAATGGTTGCATCAAAATTTCCTACAAAACACTTTGTAGGAATTATTGGTGCTATTACCATGCTAAGGTAATCCCTGTTTCTAAACAAAGCAAGGAAACTCACTCTCTAGAAATATATTCATGTCAGTGTTATTTATGCCTAAACTAAACTAAACTAAACTAAACTAAACTAAACTACTAACTTAAGTAAGTGAAACCATTTCCTGAAATGCAAATACTGGCAGGGGTAACCCCCTCCTGTGGTCAACTGGTTGAGGTTGGGGGTTAGCCAAGTACAATTTCCCTATGTAGCAGATGACCAATGCTGACTTAGTGAGTGTTGCTGGAAATGTATTGGTCACTTTTTTATTTCTTTATTTCTTTATATCACCCTTCATCACAAGATCTCAAGGGCAGTTCACAAGATAAAACAGAAGATTAAAACACAAGCTTTACCATGCTGTGGTGTGTTGATATTCTTCCCATGCTGACCTAACCCCCTGTTCCAAAGGCTGCTGAAATAAGGAATAGCATGTAACCCCAGAGAGACGCTGGTCTCACTCTGTATAAGGCAGCTTCCGCTATTCCATGTCCTTTGCAGATGTTCACCAAAGACAATTCTGCAATTGTGGAGCAGTTTTTCTACAGGTTCCTGAGTTACATATGAAATCCTTGGGATATAAGCTCTTTTATACAGTTAGATGATCCTTACACCAGGATCTTAAAACGAAGTGGGTTTCAGATACCACATCAAGGGAAATCCTGGTGAGCTCCAAATGTGGTTAATATTGGTGTCCTTAGGTGGGCTTATGGGAGAATTTGTTCCAGGGAGAAAAGGCTCTGAGGTGAGGGGGCAAGTGAGTTGGTTCCCAAAGTCAGCATGGAGCCAGACTTGCATCTGCTCCACCGCCTTGCAAGGCAATTTACTAAGGGATTACTCACTGCTGAATGACAGAACAGGGAAACGGCTATAATGGAGTTCACTGCCTACAGGGAACCCAATACAATTCTTAAGTCATGCTCACCGCTGCATTCAGAGCATGAGGGAGCTGATGTAGCAGTTCCAATAGTTGTTTGGAAACAGCTACGTGTCTGTGGAGTCACAGATCAGTATAAATACAATGAATTCACACCTCCTCCAAATACCTCCCATCCCACAGGTCCCCCATTTTTTGAAAGGGAAGAGACCTGGGTATAACTGGAGAGAAAGGACAGCTGGTGGGATGAGCAAGAAAGGAAAAGGAAGGTTCAGTTCTTCCCAGCTGCGTAAACAATCCTTAGCCTATGCTTGCAAAGAAATGTCTGGTGCGAAGATTGCACATTATTATTTTTTCCAGAGGACTATTTCATATGTCAATGTGTTAAGAGAAAGCTTCACTGTAGGTAACTACCCTGCATTTTACATCAACGTAGCTATCGTTATATAAAACTATTATCGCTAACTGCAGTTATATAACCCTCATATTTAGTTTGATGAGTGGTTTATTTTTCAACGTTTAAGTCTACACAAATTCAATCTGAGAGACAGCGACACAAAAAAAGTTGGTGAACTTTTTGAAAGTGCAAAGGATAAGCAGTCGTGAATAAAGCAGCTGCTGAATAGATTTATTCCTTAAACCAATGGGAGTAAAAACATTATCCTATTATGTGGCAACTTTAAGTTCCCTCAGTTTCAGCATTTCAATATATATTTTAAATGAAATGCACATCAATCTTTTTCTAATTACCAAGTGGCTCCATGCTCCTTTTGTAAACAGTAGTTACATTACGTACCCATTTATGCTCATAAGGGACCCTGAAGAAAAGGCCCCATTTCCTGCTACCCAGTACGGCTCACTGTGAGAACAATATTTATGTAAGTTGCACTATCCCAAAGGAAAAGCGTGATGGGATATGACCTAATGTTCCCAGAGTACTGTAAAACTAATAATGGATTGCAGAAATGGTAAGGATATTTATTGAACTTGGGTGGCCATCAACATAACTGTGGACAGTTTGCAGACGCTGAAAGACTGAAATAACCCTACATAAGCAGAATATGTACCACGATGATAAAAGCCAATTTCTGGTGTTAACAGTTCAGTTTCACTGGTACCTTCACTGCAAGGAAAGGGTTCTCAAAACTCAGGGCTTGGTTGAAGACACAACTAAGGCTGCAATCCTGTATACTCTTGTTTGGGAATAAGTCTAATTAAAGTCAAGTGGGCTTACTCTTTCACAGACAAATATAACATTGTGTTGTAAGTTAAGCCATTGGTTTCAATGGGATTCAAAAGATGACTAACTTTTTTCAGGATTGGGACTTTTTTCCATAGTAAATTGAATGTGATTGCATCTTATGGGGCTTTTGAAAAGGAGCACAATCCCCTGGGAAAGGCCTCCCAAGACAAAACCCACTGAAGCAGGCAGGAGTCATACAGATTGTTCACAAGTCTTGCAATGGTTCAGAATACTCTAACAAACAGAGTCAAATTCAGCCTTTCAACCATTTCTTCTCGAAATTCACAACACATACATTCACCATTTCACTTTGTATCCCTGATTATAAAGGTCCCTTTTTAATTCAATGCCTCATCTGAATAGGTTAGCACAGGCTCATTCTTTTCTTCTGAAATATATTACTGAATTAGAGAATGCTTAATAGTGATGATGTTGCCAATAATATGAGCATAAAATGCATAACATATAATTAATGTGAATAATGTTATTCGTAGCTACAATGTTCTGGCTCAAATAACAATAATTCATAATGTTGAGTGCACTTTATAATAATCACAATGCTAAAACTGAGAGAATCAGGTTGAATTCCTATTTCAATAGAGTTTTCTGAACTGCTAACATTGCCTTGAGATAATGGCCTTGTTTTCACAACAATCACTATGAATGTGCTGATCTGGGCCACTTTGTCCTTTCTGCTACCACTGGAGAAAACAAACCTTGATCCCTGGCTTAGAGTTATGTCTGAACCGGAAATGGTAGTCCTTTTCATAAGCTTTCCATAAGCGCTCCAAAACTCCAGTTAAACAGATACAGTCATACCTCGGGTTGAATATGCTTCAGGTTGAGCACTTTTGGATTGCGCTCCGTGGCGACCCGGAAGTAACTGAGCACATTACTTCCAGGTTTCGCCACTCGCGCATGCGCAGACAGTCAAAATGACATCACAAGCATGCTCAGAAGCGGCAAATCGTGACCCGCGCACGTGCAGACGTGCAGTCACGGCTTGCGTTCACTTCAGGATGCGAATGGGTCTCTGGAACGGATCCCGTTCGCATCCTGAGGTACCACTGTATTTCAAAATGGTGTTTAGATGATTCCACACGTTCAGCCTAGCTGGGATCAACAACAGTCAGATGGATGTAACCCAGGTAGAGGGTTTAAGGGGAATTTGTGCAGAAGTGGGAAACTACATGTCTCACCAGTTGACCGAAATCAGCATATCAGCCCTGGAGTCTTAAGAATTGGCTATGGCCAGCTATGCAGTTCTTCTAAGGTTAATGACTTGAGTGCATTTATACAATCATTAATCACAGATCATTTTTAGCTATGGTGTCTTATTAGCATCGTAAGGACATTTTATCAGCGCAACAAGCAGACGTTTGGGAACAAACATTTCAGATTCTTGATATCTAAGTTTTTTTCACTATTTCACTGGTACAGTCCCAATAATTTCAGTGAAGCTAGATAGTCAGTGTTGATAAGTGAATAAGTCCACATAATAAAGGGGTAGTATTTTGACCTGTCGGGGGGAACAAGACCCTAAAACCTAGAACTGCAATTACATCCATTACTGGAAAAGATCATTAAAACTCCCCCACTGATGAATGGCTATAATGAACATAGTGTGTTTGAATAAGGCTTTTTGTTCCCAGAGAGCTATTGTTAGCATTATGACAAGGTGAATATGGAAATAGCCCATCATAGTTACTGTATGCTAAGGTTGAATAAATGAGCCATGCTCAATTGCTACTGAATAGACTTCTGACCTTTGGAACAAATTGTAAACACTGACAATGATGAGGCAAACCAAGTGAACTGAATAAAGAAAAATAATTTAAAAAAAACTATTATAATAGATTCTATCCTAGTAAGAATCTTACTTTCCATTTGAGGCCAACACAATAAAACCCAACTAGTAGTTTTAAATATGTTCCAGTTTATTCTGCCAACATACATATGTTCCACTGTTTTGAAGTTTATATATTTCAGTGAATATTAATCAGTTTTACCACACATATTAAACATTTACTTTTAATAACCTAAGGTGTGTTTTTTTGTGTGAACTGGTAACATGGATTCATTCAACATCTCAGTTTTTCATAACCTGAAAACAACAGGTTATATGAAAAATCTGCTCTGCATTAAGTAAAAAAACCAAATATTTATTTTGGTTGGCTCAGATGGTTTGTGGCTAAGGGTCATTGCCCTGTAATCCAAGTGTGTTTTCATGGCTGTTAACAGAGGTTGCCACATGGAACGCTTTGCATTTTTACAAATAATTCCAGAAATGAGGTGTCCTTTTAGTAGTCAGGTCACTTATAACAGGTTGTGCCAAAGACTTATTCAAAGAATGCTAACATCCTGAACCCAAGGGGTTTGGACCTGATTTGACTTGCTCAAAGTAAGAGGGTACTATACAAAACCAGGGGAAATCAAGAAGGATTTGATCAAATGTTTGATCAATCTGTTTCTTTGGGTGATTTAAAATAGATGAGACTGGAGGGATGTGAAAATGTGAATCTAGGCCAAAACAAAGAAAAGCTGGTAAGAACGCATGGATGTGTGGGTGGGTTTGTTTGTTTTGTGAGCACAGTGGGTAAACAACAACAAAACAAACCCCAGGAGTCTGTGTTGTACGATATGAATTATAAAGAGAAACTTGCTGTTCAGGCATGTTAAGTGTTCACGGTAGATGTACAAACAAGCTCAATGTCATAATACTAGAATATTAAACTATTAACAGGGCCATTGTAACTGCTTTGCAGGCATAAAGGCAGCAAAAATGTGTAGGATCGAAAAGTAAGAAAACTAAATTTCATTTTTTGTTAAATTACCATTTCATCACATCATTTTGACTCATGCAATAGTCACAGGGCTGAATAATATAAATCTAGCTCTTTACAGCTCAACCAGTCATATAAAATGAAGCACATCTAAACTTTGCATGCATTGATAAATGCCACTTAACGAGACTAATCTCAGTATGTAATGTATGCATGCAAGTTATTGCAAGGCTGTGCCTTCTCGCTTATTAAGATCTACAAGCTACTCCAGTTGTTTTACAAATGCTACCATTCCACCAGTTCTTTTAAATCTAGCTTTCCAGTTGACTGTTTATGTTTCCTGATGTGATTAAACAGAGAGCCAATTATCTATAGAAAAATTAATAATCAGTGTACATGGGCCGCCCTATTCAATGAGTCATGCTAGAAATAAGTAATATTTTCAGGACTAAAAGGTGAATTGTCCCTAATTAGAGCTAAGTAATGTTACTGTTTTTGTGTGTGGAATGTTACTGTGTCCTCTAGATCTACCCTAATTAAAACAACATTCCAAAGGTGAAAAGCTAACTTGCATTAATAAATTATAAAGGCTCATAATTGCAGCTAGTGCATTATTTTAATTGGTAATAAATTCATTCTTTGGAAGCTGGCATCATGACCATTACAGAAAAAAGCAAAAGGCCTGCAATACATACCTTATAGCACATGAATCTCTTTATTAGAGTCTTTTGTTCTAATATCCAACTAGGAGAGTATATGGACAGTATGAAACTGCACCTCCACATTATGCAATTGCCTACTTGTTGCAAAGACAGAAGTTCCATTTAGGCACATAACCCAAGATGATGGAACTTTGCAGTTAAAAGCAAATTTCAAAGTCTGGCATTATCAGTGCCTATAGATAAATACCAAGGATTTCTAACGGCATTTTCCTCTGTTAAGTCTGTAGCCCAAAGAACGTATTGTTGAAAAGCTCTAGGGAATAATATTGTCTTTTAACAACTACATTTTGAGGACTGAGTTCCTAGACTCACTCATCTACATGTAATTTTTGCACACTTGTTATTTTTCTATGATACTGAACATTCGTTAGGATATTCCATATAATCTGAATTATTTGTGACAATAGAAAAAGTCATGCAACTATTGAAATATTATTTTCCCCATGCACTGTGATTGGCAGCTATGTAATTGTGGTAAGCTGCTTTGACCAAGGTTTCTATGGCAACCACCCTACAGTCAATTCTTACCTGTTTTCTGGTCATCCATTGTACTGAGCTTAGTCTCGTCAGCTACTGTTAAAAGGTAAATGTATAACGGTTAGCCCTGTTAGTGCCCACATCCCACATGCATCCACTGTTTATATTCTCTTTAAAGTTAGAGGACACTGGAAACATCATTCTTCATGCAAATAAGCAATGTTATGCAGACTATCTTGATGGGGCAAAATAAAGCCCAGCAACAAACCTAGTAACCGTCATGCGTTGTGTCAGTCATTTCCATGTCACAGCCAAAAACAATGTTATTCACATGCTAGCATACACAACTAGCAGAGACAAGTTGCCACACATGTCTGAATGCAGTGATCTGAGTTTTTAAAGCCCCGTAGGCTCTTCTTAAAGCAATATGTATTTGCATACATTGAAATTTCTTCTGCTTAAAAGAAAACCGTAAGAGGCTTGGTTAGAAATGCTTGAGATATATGATTATAACAAATAAACAGGGGGCAAGGTGGACAAACGAATTTTCTTTGCCTTCATTTAACAATATCCCTGCAGGACCACAAGTTTCATCATGGCACTCCTTTACTTACGGAAATATTAACCCTTCTGAGAATTCATACATCATACAAATAAAATGGGGATGGCACTTTATTATATGCTACCCAAAGGAAGCATTTATAAAATGTTCTCAGATTCTAGAATATAGTTCCTTACATGATCCATTCCCACAACTGCTGATTAAATATGAAAATAATGCTGTTCATATGTATCCCATTACTGATTAAATGGTATCCTGTTTTGATTTTCTAAAGAGCAGGTATCTTGCTACTATTAACTTGTGCTTCGGTGAGAGTTGCTACGTATCAAATTTTACCAGTCACGGCATGTTATCAGCTTTCCACAATGAAGAGTACTGTGGCACCATAAAAAGGTCATCAAATTCATCAAGTGATTGCATAAGTGGATAAATATACAAATATCATGAGAAGGGATTTGGGGTGGGGGGAAATGTCCACACCATAAATCTTTGGTCAGGACCATTCCATGCAGCAGGTTTATTTTCTAGACAATATAGTGAAAGTATGCATATAAAACCAACTTAGATACAAACTGGCAGCTGCACATGACAATATATATTTCACACACACACACACACACACACACCCCATATTTTTCCATATATTCTCAGAACTTACTGATTAAGCAATCTATAAATCTTACTAAAATAAATAAAATAAGAAGCAGATTGGCCAGGTAGTCATAAGACACATAACAGGTCCAGCAGGGGGAGTACAAACACACAACGTCCCCAAAGGACCCATACTTGCTTATAGACTACAAACTGAAGCAGCTCCTTAAGATCAGTGAATGAAATTGATACAAGCCACTGTCTCCATATTGGCCAATGTTGTAATTCCTGCAACATCTGACATTTGCAAACCTAGATCTCAAAGGAGACTGGGAATGGCTACCTCACTACAGAAACTAATAATCTCTCTTTGCATGTTTATTTATACTTATTTATACTATTTATACCCAACACTAGCAACCACTAGATGAGAATCTACTCTGATTGGATCATATATTAATTTGTCATCTGCATAGCAACTGACACCTCTGCCATTGTCTCCTGTATTGATTGGCACTTTGTCAGCACTTTGAAAAATATGTCTTGTAGTAAGTAACTCCTGAACACCTTATCTGACCTTGTCAGCGTAGCTATTCAATTCTCTAGGTGGGCATTATAGTTTGCAAAATGCTCAAGGTAAATCCTGCAGGTGTCCATTCCTTTCTGAAGGATGGGAGCAAAAAACAATGGTTGAGCTTGGCTGTTGTCAGTGGATTGTGCTCCGGGTGACAGCTGAACATGCATATAAGCATGTATACTGTTTTCTTTGTAAGTTGGTGTTTGTATACATAGCTGCACAGTGGAGCCAACTGGCCACATGGCATGATCCACATATAGGTTGATGGGGTGGACAAAATTCATTGAACACAGTCTTTAGGTATGCATTTACACTACTCACCTTGCTAGGCCTATTCACCATGCTACTATGCAGGCCCTCTAGTCAGGAATGGATCATAGCCATTCTTGTCTTCACCCAATTGAATATAATATTTAATTGTGCTCTACATAGTAATTTGACATATGAGCTACTGCATCTTTCATGTCTTGGCATTTTTGGCTTTCTGAATCCCCCCCTCCCGTTTTCCAGTTTCCATGGTTTTAATATCAATCCACTTATGTGCCACTTCATGCTGTTGAGGAAATGAACTCTGGCTCAGAAAACTTGCATCACAATAAATTCTTTAGTCTTTAAAAGGCCATAAGGCTCTTCATTGTTATTGTTGCAGCAGACTACCATGCCTACTGCTCTTTTGTCAGTGTAAAAAAATTGTCAGTGTAAAAAAATATCGTTATATGATGCCCCTCAGGATGCAATCCTACACATTGCTTTTTTCTGGAGTAATCAAGATCAATTTGAGGATGCCAAACCAGACAAGATTTCTTTCTTTTCTTTTCTTTCTACAACTCAAAGCCCCACTGATGTTTGAATATGGATCTGAGACCTTGTGGAACCAGGACTTAGGCTAGACCATGAAATGGAGTCCAGAGTGCACTGGACCAGATCCCATTGACCAGATCCCTAGGCCTGGAAAATCCAGAGGCTTTATATTGTTTGCCAATTGCAGGAGCTGATGTTGCAGGTTGGAGTTATGTTACAATCATTCCTAAGTACAAGGCCTTATCAGTGCCAAAATCAAACAGACGTTAGTTGTTTAGGAATTATTTTAAAATGCAAACTTGAATTATTTGGCTTTTCTGTCTCCTGAAAAGTACCTCATCATATGCACTCACACATTCACGTATCCTGAACCATTGTATATAACATGCATCTGCATAAGCATAATGTTTGAAATATATAAACATTTAAATTGCATAGACACACATAATGTTCTTGGATCAGACCATATCAAGACTTCTTCATGCCACATATTGAATCCAGCTGCACGGACAAATCAAATGTTTGGCATAACAAATAATATAACTGCAACATGAAAAACAAACAGTATAATTGCAACCTGAAGAAACATGTTGAAATACAACATGGGGGGAGGGGTAAAAAAGAAAGAAGTCAAAATTTAATACCTAAGTCCATGCTTTTGGATTTCCGTGTTTTAACAAAGTCCAACTGGCTGGCATCTGAAAATTGCTTAGTGCGCTTTTCTGACATGCTCTGGCGTCCAAAACCCTCTCGCTGGAAGGCAAGCGCTGGATCAACATCTGGACTCAGAGTGCTGTAAGGGAAAGGGGGAAATTAAAGCATACGAAGCACACACCTATCATAGTTGTGTAATAAAATGTTTACGTAAAGTATCAGCCAGCAACAATTTTTGAAAAATAGCAACTTATAATGTTCCATATCATGAAGAAAAAAAATCAAGTGACAAGCATATTTGCAATGGGGCTCTATGGAAAGAACAGCTGGGAAATCCACTTCAAGCATCCTCCACACTATGTGGTCCAAGCTTCCACAGGGGTATTCATGCTGTGGAAATAAATAACTATGTACGTAACTCTGGAAGATTCATGCGAATGGCCTGCTTCATGTGCATCATTGCAGTGTAACTATCACACCCACAGGGGCTGTACCCAATGAGCAGAAAAGAAAGATGTGGAATGTAGAAAAGATGAAAAGAGAGAGAGAGAGGAACGCCCACATTGCTGGGACCCAGAGGGGGAAAATGAGATTTTATTATGTGCAATATACACAATATATCTATAGTCTGATAAAACATAATAAATGAAACACTGCAACAAGTTACTAGGACAGTGAATAAGTCAAAATTCAAAAGGCATATTACACAAACAAAAACATTTCTATTTTTTTTTTACAGTGGGGGGGTAGCATTGTCCCATCATTCCTAACCACTGGCCATACTGGCCGGGCAGATGGGAGTCTATCCCTGGTTTAATGTTTCGTCCCTTTCTCTTTTTCTGGTTCCAACAATGCAGGAGTAATTTTTGCAATGAGGAACCACATGAATGGATCATGTTATAAAGCAGCAATGGCCCAGTGCTGTGGGGCCTGGCACTGCTGGTGTGGGATCATCAAGGTTTTGAGTCCTGGAAGACCTGCTCCCTGCCTTGCAGGCCTTTTCCCATCTGATGTGAGAGGGTGCTGCCCTGACTGACTCTAGCTCCAAAAGCTGAGGCTGCTGAACAAACTCTTGGGTTGGAGTATGGTTTAGGAGTTTTGTTTTTTTGTTGGGGTGGGAGTTGTTGCTGTTATTGATATAAATTTTTGATATTTTCAGATCTTATTGTGATTACTGTACTGCATTTTGGTTGTGTTTTATTTATTGATGATGGATACTGTTGTTATATTTGTAATTATGTATTTTTTTCATGTTATCAGCCACCTTTAGCATGGCTTTAACTATGGAAAGATGACATACAAATAAAATGATGTATGTATGTAACTTTGTGTTCTTCTCTCCTAAATCATTACTCTACATTAGTATGCAGCACAAGGACGAGATCACGCTCATGTAGCCATCTTGCCTAAGCTGTATGTATTAATCAGATATAGGTTTAAAATTAAATTTCTTCCCTTCTAAATAGGTAGGTGAAACACAATAATCAAATGCAGCATCCATTGCACTCTTCACGGAACTGTGGCCAAAGAGGAAGTGGAACAAATGAAGGAATAATTGGTATCAAGAGACCTACAGTATTTGGTTTGCTGGAGGAGCCTTGGACAAGTCTATCCACAGCAAAATAAAAATGGTTTTGTAAAAAAAACCCATGTATGGTCGTTAGAGGAAAAAGTGGGATATAAATATGATTGGTTTGCTTATTATCAAACTCCCATCCCACCCTTCCTCCATATTGCTCAGGGTGGCTTATAGGGGTCTGTGCCATTGCTTTTTTAAAAACCTCACAGCCATCGTATGTGATGAGTTCAACAGGCTGGGCTTAGAGAGAGTGACTGGACAAAGGTTGTGTTGGGGCGGTTTTAATTATTCAATCATATCTGCTGCTGAGATAGTTAAAAAACAAACTTGGCAGCCTCCCAGGTCTTTTATTTGTGACTATGCATGTGTAATTAAAAATTACTCCTGGATTCAATCATCTTTTATTTTCTAGCTATAATCTACAGCAACACACCAGCAAAAAACAATGTAACAACCAAGATTTAACAGTATCTGCAAAATAAAATGTTTTTTTAAAAAATGTTAACAAGCAAAACCAATGGATTTTTCCATATTTGAACCATATTGTGTTCTTTTTTCTGCTCTCTTGGAGGTGAGGCAGAGACCATTTTGTGTTAGGGCACCCTCATGGTGGCAGCTTTTTTGAGTTAGGCTACACATTTGAAAGCAGCACCTTCTCAAATTTTCCAATGTGCCATCAGTCCCAAAAGGCTGGCAACCACTGTATTACACAGCGGTACAGTGAAACTGTAGTGAAACTGCTTCCACTATGCAAAGTAATCTGGACTTTATAAATAATTATTCAGTTATCTATTTCTAAAACTAATAAAATATTCAGTGCTTTGTTTATCACAGATGTTACACAATGAATTTTATGCCCAGGATACAATGAAAATGTATTACACAACTGATGAGAAGTTGTGTATTTTATCAAGCAAAACACACCTCAAATGGTAACAATTTGAACAGAGGTTTGTTGCAGGAACTAAAAAAGCACAAAAGTCAGTGAGTACAGCTAAGTAAAATTGCCAAATAGTGGTTCTTAATATTTCAAATTGATGCTAAAGTCACTTTCTGTCTATTATTATTGTAATTTATAAAACCAACAAGCAGCAAAGCGTATTATAACAACTAAAGCTTCTGGAACGACAGTTGACTCTTTAAAGAATGTAACCGTATTGTGACCCTCAATGTTATTAAAATTCCACTTATTAATCCTGTCTCATTGTCCCTTTGTTTTCATAACATTTTCATCAAGGATTAGGGAGATATTGTCAGGCTGGAAAAAGCTTACATTTTGTGCTGTGATTCAGAACAGCTGCCATTCTTGTTTGGATAACCCTTCATCCATATTCTTAACTTCACCCCTTGGTGCCTTGCAGCAAACTCACAGAATACACCTTTGTTTTACAAGCCTTCCTTTGTCCATTAGCAGCAGGAAATTAATTCAAAAATCCACTCAACTGCTGTTTATTTAATTTCACTGGGTTTATTTTTTAACAAATATAATGCAATCAACACAAGTAAGACTCCAAACTGATCTGCCCCTTTTCATAATTGCATCTCTGCCTCTGAGAGAAAAGGCATTAAAGGTGGTTCCATAAGAAATTTAATGACAGCTAATAGCGCTTCACTCTTTCTTCCTGTGTCAGGGAAACATGTGAGCAGGAAAATATTCTGCATTCCTAAATGTCAAAGATGTATGTGTTTGTTTACATTCTGCTGAGGTTTTCTTGCCACACTCAAGTGGAAAAATCCATGCTAATACAATCTATTACATGCAATTTTGCATGCTTTTCGTGATCCGACCCCCCAACCCCATCACAAATTTTTAGCTTTTAATGTATTTCCCATGTGAATGCAATGATGGGTGTTTGCAGGATTGAAATTGCAGTTGTGCCTCTTTCAAATGGGCAGGTTCAACATTCAGAAGGTAAAAACAAAAGTCATCAGCAAAAGACAAAAAGAAAGAAGCTGCTTTTAAGACAGCAAATAAACAGTTTCTTTAGACGGGATATAAACAAATGCCACTTAACACTAATCCACACTGATATAGATATAGATAATAAATAGCTGACTTATGCAAATCCAAACAAAGAGATACTTGCTGGTGCTAATTCTTATTAAGATATTGCTGACACAGTTATACTATACCCAGGAGAGTGTGGGACTCAGAAAAATTCTCATACTTCAACCTGCTTGTGTTAATTATTGCCACCACCCTAGCAGGGGGTTCCACAGAGAGGTCTTTTATTTTGCTTATTGCTGAACATAATTACAAGGCTTACAAATTAATGTCATTCTCTTGGATTAGTACAGATAGCACTACACAAAAATTATGCAATATTTATCCTGCAGAAGACAGTAAACAACCCAAAGCCAAAGTAACACCTACCCCCAGCCCCTGATATATACACATTGTGTATCAGTGCAACTTAATAATCATAGTCCCCAGATTTGCAGATATTTTGAGGTGGGGAATGCATGCTACACTAATGTATCACAACAAATGAAACTGATCTGTAGAAAACACATCTTGAAAAAGAGACATCACATGTATTTTTGTAAACTATGAAATACTTAATAATAATAAAAACCAGCCCATCTAAAACTCCATGTAGCAAAATGAAAGTAATTGAAGTTTTGAGGATATCACAGAAAATGAGCTCTCTCTCTCTTAACCACCTCTTAGCACCCAAAGGTAGAGGATACCTGGAGAAGGACTTCCAAAGTAGATCTCAGCTTGTGGATGCCACTAACTGCTTTTACAATGCTCCTCACTTTCAGAAGTATATTGCTATGAAGTAAGGGAGGGGGGCTGTGGTTCAAGATACACAAGCAACTTTGGCAGCCCAGATACAATTGAGCAGTAACTTAACCTTGGCCAAGTGAAACCTTCTCATAATTCTCTTCTGCTCTGCTTCCTAGATAGGAACAAGCAACTCAGAAAGAGGGCTGGGAAGTCTTCTTTCAATGATAAGCCTATAATTCTGCTCCTCTCTGTGTTGAAAAATGCAGGTGTGAAAAGCACATGAACTGTTGATAAGTAGAAGTAATGGTTTGTGTGGCCATGAGCCTTACCATTCTGTTGACTCATTAATTGTTGGTTTGCTCCAGGCTCCACCATCTACTGTTGCAAAGCCCACATCATCATGGGAACTGGAAGATGATTGGTCTGAGAGATGTGGAGGTAGTACTGGTAATCTATCATCTTCTATAATGACCATGTCATCCTGCGGCATGTTGACTGTCGGAGATAGCTGGTATTTACCTGCACAAAATGGGAAGTGGAAGAGAACTAAACATACTGAGCACTCAACACAAACACTATGCTATTTGTCACAATTTACAAAGCAATTTACAAACCAAGAGCCATGAGGCATCTTCAAAAGGAACCTATTTATACTGTTGTAAGTCTTTACAGGTTGCAGACTACTTCATCAACAACCATACCACAACACGGAACAAGATGCCAGAAATACAGTTTCTTAATCCCTTATTAAAGATTGGTAGTGGTGGGAGTGTTGGAACTTACAGAGAGAAAAAAAGTTTTCATAAGGCCACCTAGTGAATTCATGTCAGAGAAAAAACTGAACTAGGGACTTCCTCATTTGTAAGTCAGTCTCTAAGTCTGCATGCTACAACACATTTGAGTGCAACTGGTGTTCGGTCCCAGCTCCTGCCCACCTAGCAGTTCAAAAGCATGTCAAAGTGCAAGCAGAGAAATAGGTAATGCTCCAGCAGGAAGGTAAACGGGATTTCCATGCGCTGCTCTGGTTTCGCCAGAAGTGGCTTAGTCATGCTGGCCACATGACCCAGAAGCTGTCTGTGGACAAACGCTGGCTGCCTTGGCCTAAAGAGCAAGATGAATGTGCAACCCCAGAGTCGTCCGTGAATGGACTTAATGGTCAGGGGTACCTTTACATTTACCTTTACAGAGATGAACTAAACAGAGATGGGGGAGGAGCTAGATATTAATATGTGAGGCACAGACATCATATTCTGCATAATGGCTTGGTATGTTGAGTGACTGTGCATGCCATGTGAGGAGGCAAAGGACGAGGTTCTGTTTTACTTTGTGGAAATGGATGAGAAATATGTAGACCCTCCAGGGGACCATATAAGACGCCCACCATTCTTAACTATTGGGCACTGCTGGGTGGGGCACATGGGAACTGGAGTCTAACAACATATGGAGGTCAAAAGGTATTCCATCCCTGTTCTATAGACTTTCATCTCTGTAGGGCATGGTGTCTATATGGCAAAGCATCATCTGTATTCATTCCATATATATTCATTCAAAGAATAACATTCCTAGCCCTGGTCATTTCAGCTGTGAGAAATGAACAACTTAAAAATAGAGTCAGAGAGAGATCCAATTCTTTTTAAAAGTTTTTTTTGGGGGGGTGGAGGGAGGCAGGGAAAGTTAGACGAAAAAGAACTCTACTACACGTAGACCCATCATTGTCAAACTGAAATGAATGTGTTCAAGTTTGCATAGCAGCTAATTCTTTGCCCAGCAAAAGCTTCTTTGATGGACAGGTTAATGTTGAGCCTAGTAATGCACTCCTCTCCAAACATAATGCCTACAAGATTGTTAACTCTGTGACTAATAATGTCTCCAAAGAGCTGAATGTGAAACAGTATAACCTTATGGCATTTTTTAGATGAAGCCTCCAAGGTTGAGAGGCAAAAGCAATTCAGTGGCATGTCTAAGTTTTCTCTGCACTTCTTAATATTTCAGCAAGAATGAATGATGACATTTTAGTAGTTGCACTGAAATGTAAAAGAAAATACATTTATTTTACTGCAGGTGTGTGGGAGAGGAATGGAAGAGAGAAGCAGATGACCCTTCAGATTTATGCCAGACACAATGCACCAATGAAAAAAAAATGGCTATTATTTCTAACTAGTAACATGCTGCATCAACAGTGCAAAGACCATGAGAAGTAATGGTACTACTCTATTCTGTTTTGTTCAGACTTCATCTGGACTACCGTGTCCTTTGCTGGACACCACAGTTTAAGAAGGTTATTGACAAACTGGAACGTGTCCAGAGGAGATTGGGAAAACAAAGTTCTGAGCTGGCTATGTCTAACCTGCAGAAGAGATAATTAAGATGCTATATGATATTCATCTTCAAACAGACGATGGAGTACATTGGTTACATTTGCAACTACAGCTCTAGTTGACCCCAGCCATCATGGCCAACAATTAAGGATAATGGGAATTGTAGTCTAAGAAGGGCTACAATTCCCTATCCCTGCATTAGGCAAAAAATCCTGATCATACAAGATGTTTGACAATAGAATAGACCCTCATTTGTTACAAGTTCTTTAAGCAAATGCCACCAATCAGGGTTGCTGTAGCAAATGCCACCAATCAGGGTTGCTGTAGTTGCTGCCTACAAAGGTCAAGCGGGTGATCTTTGACATCTCTGATTTTATATTGTACATCAGCAATAACTTGGTATAGCCATGTGTTGGATAAGGGAGATCCCAGCCACGAGTACATTCAGCTGAGGTGTACCATAATTGGGAAAGACCTCTCCTTAAAACTCTGGAGTGCTACTGTTCTACTCTGAGCAAAGTGGACTAGAAAACCAATAATACATGGAAACCTCATATGTCAATACGGCAATTCTCTGCATTACAAGAATAAAAAGAAAATCAGCTATGGGCATAGACAGACAATATAACAAGAACAGCGACCCTAACTGTTTGGTATAATGATGCACTTGGTACATAAGAGGGGGATCCCCCCCCCCATGACTGCTTGTTGTGTGGTCTCCTTACACTGAGGATCCATGAAGGGCCACGTCATACAAAGGATTAAAAACAAAGCTAAAGTTGACTGAACTCTCATAGGCACTTCCGGCAATGCAATCTCCCATGGACTTTGTCTGCGTAAAGTGGTGGGGGAAACTATCCAACTAAGTAACAACATATAATTCCTGTAAGAAGGAAATGACCTTGCAAGACCTCAACATACAACCACTTTCTATAAATACATATTGGGGAGTGGGACCGGTGGTCTCTGCTATATGCCTGTATTTTAGTTCGACTAGTAGTTATTATGGTTCCTGTGCATTGGTTGTTCCATCTAATATTGATTAAGAGGGTATCTTTATCTAATTGCTGTCCATGCAGCTCTAGAATGTAGCATTTATACTGTATTTGTATTTAAAGGCAGGATAGGTAAAGGTAAAGGTACCCCGCCCGTACGGGCCAGTCGTGTCCGACTCTAGGGTTGTGCGCTCATCTCACTTAAGAGGCCGGGAGCCAGCGCTGTCCGAAGACACTTCCGGGTCACGTGGCCAGCGTGATGAAGCTGCTCTGGCGAGCCAGCACCAGCGCAGCACACGGAAACGCCATTTACCTTCCCGCTATAAAGCGGTACCTATTTATCTACTTGCACTTAGGGGTGCTTTCGAACTGCTAGGTGGGCAGGAGCTGGGACCAAAAGACGGGAGCTCACCCCGCCGCGGGGATTCGAACCGCCGACCATACGATCGGCAAGTCCTAGGCACTGAGGTTTTACCCACAGCACCACCTGCGTCCCTAAAGGCAGGACAGAAATCAGTTAAACATAAAGTAGTCCAACATTCAGCCTAACACAGTGGCAAGATGTAGTGATTTTCATTTGATACCACAACTTCAAGCAACATAAGCTTTGCAAAACTGTTCATTAATCTAGAAGCAGTGTCAAGAAATGCACCCTTCAAAAAATATTTGAGACTTTTAGGAGCAGAGTTATACAATCCAAGTGTATTGATTAAGCTTGAAATCGAATTACTACAGTTCGCTTAAATGATCCTAAAAATTAAACATACTGAAACACTAAATGCTGTCTTAACTACACACCCTCAACCTTTAATTGGTTGAGGGAAACTTTTCAATCCATTTTCCATATTTGTTTATGTCATTCTTCTTTACAAGCTCAGTTATTGCAGAAATTTGGAAAATAACTGGCAAATTTACACTACTGTGATTCAGTTGGTAAAAATATATCGATGCAAGTTTCGGCATGTGGCAATACCAAATGCTTTGGGGCTTTTTTTAAAAAAAAAATGTACTTATTAACGTAGGAGTATGAAACACAAATCCAGCAAGGAATTCTATAATTAGGGGGAAATCCTTACTTTCTGAAAACATCAGAGGGATTGCTACAGAGAAGAAATCATTCTACAGTTACAGCTTAGGTAGCACTCCTTCATTATTGTGCAAGGAAATGTTCTAGGATTATGTTATACCTGTAAAGCCTATGAAGCACCATGCCAATCTGTTAAATAATTTATGAGATTGCATCCAACGTTGTGCTAAGTAACTTGTTCCATTGATGAAAGGATTTATGCTTCCAGAATAGAACTTTCTCCCCTCTCTGATGTCCCCTTCCCCAGTTTTTAGTGTTTCCCCTCAAGCCCGTCAGAGTAACTTGCAGGAGGAGGTGGAACATGCAGGAAGGGAGCAGGAATACCCGCCCCCATGCAGGCATAAATCCTTCCACTAATAGAACAAGAGAGTTCTAATAGAGTTCTAATAGAGCTAAAGAGTTCCAGAAAGACATCTACTTCTGCTTCATTGACTATGCAAAAGCCTTTGACTGTGTTGACCACAGCAAACTATGGCAAGTTCTTAAAGAAATGGGAGTGCCTGATCACCTCATCTGTCTCTTGAGAAATCTCTATGTGGGACAAGAAGCTACAGTTAGAACTGGATATGGAACAACTGACTGGTTCAAAATTGGGAAAGGAGTACGGCAAGGCTGTATATTGTCTCCCTGCTTATTTAACTTATATGCAGAATTCATCATGCAAAAGGCTGGGCTGGATGAATCCCAAGATGGAATTAAGATAGCCGGAAGAAATATCAACAACCTCAGATATGCAAATGACACAACCTTGATGGCAGAAAGTAAGGAGGGATTAAAGAACCTTTTAATGAGGGTGAAAGAGGAGAGCGAAAATTTGGTTTGAAGTTCAACATCAAAAAAATGAAGATCATGACCACTGGTCCCATCACCTCCTGGCAAATAGAAGGGGAAGAAATGGAGGCAGTGAGAGATTTTACTTTCTTGGGCTCCATGATCACTGCAGATGGTGACAGCAGTCACGAAATTAAAAGACGCCTGCTCCTTGGGAGAAAGGCGATGGCAAACCTAGATAGCATCTTAAAAAATAGACATCACCTTGCCAACAAAGGTCCGTATAGTTAAAGCCATGGTTTTCCCGGTAGTGATGTATGGAAGTGAGAGCTGGACCATCAAGAAGGCTGATCGCTGAAGAATTGATGCTTTTGAATTATGGTGCTGGAGGAGACTCTTGAGAGTCCCATGGACTGCAAGAAGATCAAACCTATCTGTCAGGGAACTGCCATCGGACGGAAGGGAGGTGAAAGGGCTCACACAGGTTGGGAGAGACGCAGCAGCTGAAGAGGGAACCAACAGGGAGGTGAAAGGGCTCACACAGGTTGGGAGAGACGCAGCAGCTGAAGAGGGAACCAGCAGGGGAGAGGAGCTGAGCTGGAGGGATGGCTCAGAGACACTTCCAGCGAAAACAGTGGGGAGGTTTCAGGACCTCCTGTAAGAACACCCACTCCTCGCCGGAAACTGTCACGCAGAGATTCCAGAAGACGTGTTTCCGTTAAGGAGCTTTATGTTGGAAGCGATTACGAAGCAACCACTGTCGGAATCTGCTAGTGACTAGAGCAGCCATGTCTGAGGGCTCCGTCACAGACAGAGGTTTGTGGACTTGAACAAACTCTGAGGGGATACGATTTTACGCACAAGCAGCTCATCATCCCATCACAGCATTCCGACAGTCTTTGAAAGCAGCTTGTGCAGGAGAAGGCATCATGAGCAACCCAGCCGGAACCGGAGAAGCAGGAGCTGGAGCGGGTCCAAGCCTGGAAGAAAGGTACCAGATGTTGGAGGTCCAGCTAGCGATGCAGACGGCGAGGCTTGAGGAGAGGAGGGCTCAGGATGCAGACAAAGGGAAAGCCACCCAGTTCGCCAGAAAGGTACCAGGATTGGTGCAGAAGTTTGGGGAGCCCAAAACTATCATGGTTTTCGGACAGAAATGCAATATGCCCTCAATCTGCAGTTTGATGAATTCCCTGACGAGGAATCACGAGTGGCTTTCGTGATTGAGCATCTTGAAAAGGGGCGAGAGACTGGGTTAGACCCCTGATGGCAGCTAATAGTGACGTCTTAAAGGACACGATGAAGTTCTTTCGCGCCATGGATCTGATGTTTTCCAGCGATATTGAAAAGGGAGTGGTGCGCAGACAGTTAATGGGTTGCAAACAGGGAGCCGATCTGGCCGTGAGTACTGGACGGAGTTCACCATGCTTGTTCACAGATTGGGGTGGGACTTATCGGCGGAACCCATTCAAATGCTCTTTGAAGAAGGGCTTTCTTCGGCTGTGAGAGACGAGACTTTCCCGGGCGCCCAGGGCGGAGTCTATGGACCAGCTGACCAAATCAGCGCTGGCCATAGGAGGCGCGCCAGGAGGCGAGAGCATTGGAGAGGCGGGAAGGGAAGGGGAACGTTGGAAGGAGTTCCGCATTCCAGACATTCCAGAGCCAACTTTCCCACCGGCAGAGCCGATGGAAATCGGAACAGCGCGCGCGCGCAGTTTCAAAGCCCAGTGAGGGGCAAAGAAGGAGGGAAAAGGCGCCCGGAAATGCTATCTCTGCCAACAGCCAGGTCACTTT